GCATTTAGATTTGAACTGAATTGGCTTCCAAAAACACGGTTGATTGAAGTAAAGCTCATAACTGAAGCAGATGGCAAATAGTTTACAATAGCTAAAAGAGATGCAGTATCTAAATATCATTGAAAAGAAAAGATCCATATATATTGGTTGACCTGATAAATCATTAATAACATAAGTTACACATAAGCAAATTTCATTATAATAACGCCAAATAGTTGGTGTGATGCTTGCTTGATTCAATGTTCATCAACTGTTTCTGAAAGCCAATTCTTTTTGTTCCTCGTAAATATACCTCAAATTTCTTCTGGAGAAGTTATAATATAAAGTGCTTTCAAATAATCTGGCATCCCTTTGAAATGAACAGAATGAAAAAAAATGAATTACATGTACCTTATAATCAAAAAATTTCCCTGGTTCAAGGCGTATTGTGTTATTTGAAGAGCCCCATTCTTCACATACTCTCCGCCTAAAACTAATCATCAAGCTACAGTCTTTAGCAGTAGCAGCTATCAAAAAGTTTTTGACAATCCTTAAGCTTTGATCAAGAGGGAGGGAATGCAAAGAGGCATATCTATGCAATTCTTCATCTTCATTCAACTGTCCACAAACCACACAAGGCTCTGAAATTACATCATAATATGCATGAATAGCACCTTCTATGTCCAAACTATCAAGCTTCTGGACTTCAAGAAGTCGATCCAGAACTCCAGATTTGTATAAAGTTTCAGTGACAAGCTGTAGCAAGCTAGTTGTACACAGACCAATATCTGCTCGAACGTCAGACTTGAGTGCATCTTCAAATGCTTCTCCAACAATCACGTCAGTATTTTCAGCAGAACCACCCAAGGCCCCAAATATAAGAGAGCCATTCAAGAACACACGAAAGTTGTTTTGTGGTGTGGAAAAAAGATCCTTGACTGCTTTAAGTATACGATCCTTGGAACCAGAGAAGAGATCTAGAGGATCATAATCACTGAACTCCGATATCTACAAAATAAATAAAATTCAACAACAGTGAAAACTAAATTATTAACAAATTAGGGCTGCGAGATTAATTAAAATAAGGTTAAATTGCAAATTTGGTCCCTATAATTGGGAGAGTTAAAGTTTAGTCCTTATGATTTTAAAAGTAAAAATTTCGTCCTTATGATGTGATAAATCCCTAATTTATGAAGATTTTATCGAACCATTTGATTAATTCTAACATTTAAAACCATATAAACTAAATTCCAACTTTCTCCAAACCATAGAGACCAAATTTGCAATTTAACTTTAAAATGATACTCTAAAAGGGATCTTTTTTTATAAAAAAATAATAATAATAAGAGATAAGAACCTCACTATCAACAAACGAAGAACACACAGGCCTAAAGGGTTTAGGAATGAGAGATCCCAAAGCCTAATTTGGAGGGTTGAAGAAAGATTACCTCTTCTTGATGCAGCTTAAGGGCTTGGTGCATTCTGAAACGGGTCATACACCGTTTAACAGCATTGCCATGGGATATGAACCTTGAGAATGGGATAAACCCACATTTTGGCTTTTGGGGAAAGAGGAAAACAAAACACAAAATTTAAAAGTGAACCACTTTTAATCATTCATTGGGAGCAATGCTGGCAGAACTAAACTACTTGATGCCTAAAAAAACAAAATAAATACCTAAAAGAAAGAAGTACCTTTATTTCAACAGATATGCAAGGTTCCCCATCTAAAGCACCTGAAATAGAGAGAGAGAATAAAATTCAATCACCAGGATGAAATAGTGAAAACAAGTGAAAACTAACAATCAGGGGAAATTAACAAGGACGTCACCATCTGCCTGAGATCATGGCTGCAAGTAAGGCCAGGCAATTGGTGAGCTAACATTCCATTCCCAACAGAAATCAAGAGTGGGAAACAGAAATATATTCGAGTGTTCTTCATTTTCTAAATCCATTGGCATATATTTTTCAAAAGCATGCAGAAGATGGATGCAATCTATCAACAAAATCATATACAGCACAACAATCGACCATTCATCAAGATCATAGGTTGAAAAGTTATCCCGAATATCTAAATGTCTATAATAAACTATAAAACAACTCAGAAGATGCAGTCTCTTTATTTTTCTGAGAAAAAGGAGAGAGATAGAGGGAGAGAGTGAAACCAAAATGCCACAACACATTAGTCATTAAAGAACCTATCTCACTTCAACACTAGCCCTCCTACACCAAGATAAGTCGACAGATTTAAATCAATGGACATAAGACGCCCCAATATATCAATGAGTTCAGCTAAATTTTACCATTATTCTGAACATTTCTAAGCTAATCTACAAAACAGCCTCAAATGCCCAACGCTGACCCCCACCTTTTATCTCCAAATACAAGAAAGGGAGGAGGGGGGAGCATAGACGTATAATGGGGGCAGATGTCATGGGTGGTAGATACCAAAATGGATAAAAAATTAATTTTTGCATCTAGATGAGAACTTCAAATAATTGTAGAATTTTCATTTTAACGTGGGGGAACTAGATATAGCAAGGTTGATTTAATTCGGGCAATGGAAGATCCATATTCCTGGAAGGTATATGCAGCAACTACATTTTCAATACATTGGGAAATAGTTTATAATATATGGCGAGGCTGATTGATGTTTGCTACTGGTAAGGTTAATAGTGAGTTGAGATCGGTAAGGTGGTTAGGCTGCCATGTACGTTCTGCTAGTTACTCCTATATTTCTGTTAGACTCTTATCTTCCTTATCATTTACCCGGGACCAAAACAAAAAAGACAACTGTTAATTAGTTAGCAGCATATTAAAGAACGGAAGAGAGTGGGCTCAATGCACCAAACCACTTGAATGCTTGGGGAAGCCTTGTAATATTCCTTCCAAAATGATGCAATTCTATTATTTCTTCGATTTCTTAGCTACTAGCAGCTCCCCACTTAAAATAAATCAAGCCAAGCAAGTAGTTTTATATTTCTCTTTCGAAGAAGAAGTTGCTATCATGTGAACCTACTAGGAAACCCTGTTCGTATAATGTGCAAAGGCCCTATCTGCCCCTTGGTGTTCATTTCTTGGGGAGAAGGGACCATTGGGAACAAAACAAAAACATGTCATGCTACTTTGAAAGAAAATAGTAGAATAATTGCATGAAAGACCATGTCTGAATCAATAAGTTGACTAGTATGTAGACAGCTTCTTCACCTTGTCCTGAAGTGAACAAATGGCAAGTCCACACAGACTACAAATGCACGCTGTCCACTTCTATATAACAAGCAGAGCTACAACAGTATTTAATAGAAAAACTGGGGAAAAACTATTATTACCGTGAAGGAATATGGAATGATCAGATAGAATAAGAGCATAATCACGTTGTGTATCAATCTTTCCAGTATTTACCCTCCAAGATGGCCGTTGACTACTTACTTCCTTCTCTGCCAACTCTAAAAACTCTCTGCTTACTTTGACAAGTTTCTGCAAGTGTAAATGAATACCATGCTCAGAAATTTATATCAAGTCCACAAGGTAAGTTATCACAGCCTCAACAACAATTCATGTATTCACTTTTAATGGTAGAATTAGACGAAATGAAAAAGGTATACAATCAGCTGTATTTCCAGAAATTTATCAACCCACTTGAAGAGGAAAAGAAAAACATACACCAGCATCGACGTGTTTGGAACCTAATAAGGGGCTCATTACATGCTGCACAAAGGTTTGGGCAGCAATGTCCCTGTCAGTACATGAGACAAGGTTCCCTATGTCACCCCACAACAAGTATTCGTACTTGGTAAATGCAGTTGGACTCCTCGCACGTTGTGACCCATTGATGGGAGCCTTTTGAATACGCATAACTTTTCCAATCTACACCAAGAAGAATAGTTAGTCACAAAAAAGTTCTAAATCCCCAATTCAATATTCTCTCCTTTCTAGATTGAATTCAAATCATCCCTTCACTTAGATCTTAACAATATCCTAGCTATCCAATGCCCCATTTCCTGGCCACACTTGCAACTACAGAAAAGTCTCTGCAACAATGTATAAACAGCCAAATTCATCCTAATGACAGACCACTTTTAACAAAGAGAGAAAGGGGCCACAAATTCAACATACAAAAGCTGGAGAGGAGCCAGTATAAGCAAGAACAATATTAGCGGCTCCTTCGCCTCTATAAACCCAATCCACAGCATCCTTCTCTTTTAGTACAATCTCCATCCCGTGCGTTCGTCCTCTGGAATTGTTCCAACCGTTAAAAAAAAAAAAAAAAAAAAAAAAAAAAAAGACGCAACGACATGCCAATAATGAATCATCCTCAAATTCGAAAAAAGATTCAAATACCTGATCTGAAAATCGCACATTGTCCGCAGGTACCGGGTGATATAAACCCTAGATATTCCGAGAAATCCCACATTCCACAATGCAGCTATGATTTAATACAATAAACAACCTCAAAATAATCGCGAGAAGAATGTGATAATTCAGTAATGTGAAAAGGAATTGAACCAGAAAAAACAGAGTTCAACGAGATTAGGATTGAAATTTCGGGGACGGAGGTGCAACGTGATGCTCAGCGGGATTTGTCGATCAAATACAGCGGATGAGATCTGAAAGAGGGAAAGGCAATTTTTGGATTACAGGGATGCGATGTTTTTGTTCTACGCAATCTGGCGGGGTTTTGGGAAGATTTATCATATAAATATAAATAAAATATTATATTCAATATTTATTTTTTTATATTAAATATAAAAATGAGTTGTTATAAATTTTAACGTACAAACAACTTCAAAAAACTAAATTGTTATTTTCTTAAAAATTCACCAATTAAAAGTTATTTATTTATTTATTTATTTTCCTTTCACCTCAGACAATTTATTTAAAAAATAATAATTAATTTTGTATCTAATTAATTAATGAAATTATCAACAAGATTCTATTAAACTAAAAATAAAAAAATTCTCGAAAATATTTATTAGAGGCTTTTTTTTGGAGTATAAAAACAAAATAAATATAACCTTATTTTTGTTGAAATTCTTTGAAGTTAGTTCTAACGTATCCGATCTCATTTTCTCATATTGTCGATTCTTTGATTGTGCAGGGATCTTGTCGATCATTATTTGGTGAATCCATGGCCAAGTTATCAAATCTTGGCTCAAGCAACAACGAAATGAAGAACAAGAAGAAGAGTGCTGGTGTGTAAGCTTGTCGATGAAGGTCTGTGCGCTGAAGGAGAATCCATTCGAAGGAACGTAAGGGAGAAGAGCGTCGTATTGGCCTGGCTCGTTTACTCGCGATTGGAAAGGTAGTGTATAATTATTGTGAATTGTTTGATTTTTTATTTACTTTATGCGAGTGTTGTTTCTTCCTTTGGTTTGATCGTTAGGTTTTTTTTTTTTTTTCTTCTTTTGTGTGTGTTTTGTGATGCAGAGGAAAATGATGCTGTTGAAGGAGTACGAGAAAAGCGGTAAGGCTACGGAATTTTCCGATGAGCGAATTGGGGAATGGGACGAAGAGCTTGGCTATTTTACGTTCGCAGTGCGAATGGAAGGTGAGTGCATTGGTCTGTTTCGAGCATTTGGTTCTAGCATCATTTACTGTTATCTGTTCTGATTGCATTTTTTCTTTAGCTAAAACTGAACAAGAGCAGAAAATTTAACTTATCAAATGGAGAAGAGGATGATTATCCTGGAAGCCAAAGTCTTGGCGTATGCTTGAGAAACTTTTTAAAAAACATGAGCCAGAAAATTCTTGAAAACAATTTTTGATAAAACAATGTTATAGGCTAAAAGCGAATAAGCAACAACGATGATTTTGATAGCATATAACCCGAGTAGAAAGAATTGACAACTAGTCACATCTAGTACATTTTGGGGCATTTTAGTGGGCGGGTGTAAACATAATTTTGGTGATCAGTCATGCACCCTCTATATTGACACAACAAGAAATAGTAAAGCTCTATCTTACATGAAAGGAAGTAAAAGGGATATGGAACGAGCATGTAACCATAGACAACACATCCTAAACAACCGTGACCAAGACATCCGTCATGCGGTTACTAGCTACATGCCTTAGACAAGCATGACCATGAAGGTTCTTTATGACCAAGGTTCTGGGTGCCTGATCTTACCGATGAATCTTACATGTAAATACTAAATTTCTAGAAAATTGGTGTTTATTACAAAACAAACAGCCTTTTTCATGAATCATGAATATGTCTTGAATGCATCTTACTTTTATGTTTGGAATGTACAAATACGTTCTGATTGTTATTGGGTTGCTTTCTAACCATTGGTATTAATGTCTGGTTCAGAGATTCTATGGCATTCTTTTGCAATATTTTTCTGTATCAACAAATAAGAAGCCATTAAATGTGGAGCTACTAAATTTGCTTCTCAAGCCATCAACAATTTTGTGTTGATAATAAGAATCCAGGTTCATTTGCTTGCTCCTGTAGTATATGCACTTAAATACTTGTGTACGTAACTGAATTTCAACTTTTCTTGCAGAGAATAGCTCGTGGCCTTCTTCCAAAACTCTGATTCTCTCGAGGCAGTGGTCAATGATATTTCCTTGCTCTGACTACCCATATGGGTCTATAGTATATGGATATGGTTGGGTGCCTTATCCTTAGAATACTATTGATACGATTCACTTTGTAATTGCTATAAATGATTTGATCCAAATCGTTCACGTGAATGGAGACATGTGAGTGGAGGTATCCTATAAAAGAAGTTTGTATAAGACTGGACCAAGAATCTCATTTTAAACTACTCCAAATGAAAAAGAAGTGGTCAAACTCTTCGTTGTTGAAGGGCAGGAGAGATTCGATTGGATTCGATAGAACACTCCCTTTGTTGATGAGTCGGGGAAAAAAACACCATCCCTCATCAACCTATCTCGAATTTCCTAAATCCCACCAAATTGTTGTTTTCAGAAGCTACTTCTACATAATCCAGTTGTAAAAAAAGCTCTCTAGTGTAGGAGAAAGACCTAACGCAAACCAGACACTTCTTGGTGAAGGAACAATGGATGAACTGCTGGGATTTTGTGGGATCTTACATCGGTTGGGGAGGAGAACGAAGCATTCTTTATAAGGGTATGAAAACTTTTTCCTAGTAAACGCGTTTTAAAAACCTTGAGGGAAGCCTGAAAGAGAAAACCCAAAGAGGACAATATCTGCTAGTGGTGGGCTTGGGCCGTTACAAATGGTATCAGAGCCAAACACCAGGCGATGTGCCAGTGAGGAGGCTGAACCCCGAAGGGGTGGACATGAGGCAGTGTGCCAGCAAGGACGCCGAGCCCTGAAGGGGGTGGATTGGGGGATCCCACATCGATTACATAAGGGAACGAGTGCTAACGAAGATGCTGGGCCCCAAAGGGGGTAGATTGTGAGATCCCACGTCAATTGGGGATGAGAATTAAGCATTTTTTATAAAGGTGTGGAAACCTCTTCCGAGTAGACGTGTTTTAAAAACCCTGAGGGAAGCCAAAAGAGAAGACCCAAAAATGACAATATCTGCTAGGGTGAGCTTTGGCGGTAGTAGGAAAAGGTGCTAAGAATAGTTCATATATATAATATATACATACATATATTAGATAATGATATTTTATGCATTCAACAAGGATGATATCAATTCCACATCTTCCAACAATAGATGAAGGTTTGATCTTTGAAACTGCAGGGCTGGGTTGCAATTTCTTGTTCCTAATTCTTCCACAGGTTCGTTAGGGGCAGAGACTATGATCCAAATCGTGAACGAGCTGAAAAAAGAAAGCTGCAGAAACTTCTAAAACGTGAAGCTAAAGGAGCAGCCCATGAGCTAAGGTGCAGAAAGTTTTATTCATATTTATTGTGTTTGTTTCTCATCTTGTTCATTGAATAGCTTCACAAGTTTGAAGCCTCTCTGTGTTTTAACTCATTTCTAACTAAATTTAAACTCGAATCATTTTTCTGTCTCATACATTCAATAGTTTAGCGACACGGCGACTCCACCTTACATAGTTGAATCCCTTTGATTTTTGGTTGGTTGCTTCCCTCATGGATTGCGTCCCTGAGCACAAAATCGAAGCCTGTCATCATTTGTCTTCCACTTCAACAATGGAGAAATCTTTGGTGGATCCATTAGTTCATTGCTTCCTTTATACCATACAACAACCATCGCTCAATCCTACCATTATCTCCTCCCTCTGTCGGCCAATACTCCGATCAACATCTTTAAAATAGCTACAATAACCCTACCCTTTTGTACTCTGCCTCCCCTCAATCGCAATCAAATCATGCCCTTTTCGCTCTGCTTTTGGTGCTTTCCGGCCGCCGCTTTGGGCGGAGCTGCCCTCTCGATCCTCATTGTTTTCCTATTTTCTGTGATGAGTAGCGCACGGCGGCCGAGTTCTCATTCTCCTCCTCCTCCTCCTGGAAGCAGAGGATTGCCTTTGATTGGAGAGACGATCCAGTTCATGGCCGCCGTCAATAGCAGCAACGGCGTTTATGATTTCGTCAGAATCCGCTGCCTCCGGTAATCAAAATTCATATGTTTCTAGTTATATACTCTTCAATTTCTTTTAATTTTTGCTTAATAGTAGATGACAATAATGTGGTGGGTTTGAACAGATATGGAAGATGTTTCAAGACTCGGATATTTGGGGAGACGCATGTGTTCGTATCGAGCACCGAGTCGGCGAAGCAGATACTCAACGACAGCGGAGTCAACTACACCAAGAAGTACATAAGGTCCATTGCAGAGCTAGTCGGGCATCGGAGTTTGCTCTGCGCCTCGCATCTTGACCACAAGTTCTTACGCAGCCATCTCATCAATCTATTCTCTACCAGTTTTTTGGCTTCCTTTGTCACGCAGTTCGATCAGCAGATCGTTGAGGCGCTTCGAGGCTGGGAAAGTGGATCCACCATTGTCCTCCTCAACCAAGCCCTCAAGGTAAATTTACCTTCACTCCTACAATCACTTTCATTTTGAGGATTGGTGGGAGACATTAACTCATTTGAGAGAATGATCATGCCTTTACTATGAGTAATATAACTTCTCTTTTGGGGAGTCCAAAGCAAAGTCACGAGAGCTTATGTTTAAAGTGGACAATATCATGCCATTGTGGAGATCAGTGACTCTTAATATGCCCTTAATTTAGTTATGACAATAGAATCCTCAAGTATCAAATAAAGAAGTTGCTAGCCTTAAAGGTGTAGTCAAAATTGACTCAGGTGTCGAACAAAGGGTGTACTTTGTTTGAGGGCTCTAGAGAAAAGAGTCGAGTCTCGATTAAGGGAAAGTTGTTCGAGGACTACATAGACCTCAGAGGAGGCTCTACGGTGTACTTTGTTCGAGGGTAGGATTATTGGGAGGGAGTCCCACGTTGGCTAATGTAGGGAAGGATCATGGATTTATAAATAAGGAATACATCTCCATTGGTATGAGGCCTTTTAGAGAAGCTCAAAACAAAACCATAAAAGCTTATGCTTTTATGCTCGAACTGGACAATATTTTACCACTATGGAAATCTGAGATCTGTGATTACTAACATTTCCGTCTCTATTGTTTAACAAATTCAATTTTATTGATGAAGATAACATGCAAAGCAATGTGCAAAATGCTAATGAGCATACAAAACGACGACGAATTAGAGCTACTCCAAAAGGAGGTAGCTCATGTATGTGAAGCTATGCTTGCATTCCCATGGCGGTTTCCTGGGACAAGATTCCACAACGGCCTCAAGGTCTCCTCCACCATTTCTGCAACTCATTTTCTTCATTCCCTCCATTTTTTCCGTACTCAACTCTGTAATTTCAGGCAAGAAGAAGAATCATTAAAATACTCGAAAAGATGATACGAGAGCGACGAAGATCAGAAGCTTGGCATGACGATTTCTTGCAACGGTTGTTGACGGAGGAGGGCGACGATAGTAGAGGAGCGTTGTTGGATGTGGAGATCGGAGATAACATATTGACGATGTTGATTGCAGGACAAGATACGACAGCAAGTGCCATCACGTGGATGGTGAAGTTCTTGGACGAGAACCCTGATGTTCTTCAAAATTTGAAGGTACGTTGATTCGTACATTATCTCTATTTTAATCTTTAAACTTTTAAAATATCTACTTGAACAAAAACGAAATAGGATGAACAATTTGAGATATTGAACAAACAACGAGATCGTGATCGTGAGAGTTGTTTCCTTACGTTGGAAGATCTTGGCAACATGTGTTATGCTCCTAAGGTATTAATTTTTTTTCTTTTGGAAAAATTAATGTTGTCACAAATTTTCTTTTTAAATAATGTTATTATGAATTAATCAGGTAGTAAAAGAATCCTTGAGGTTAGCATCGGTGGTGCCATGGTTCCCAAGGCTAGTCCTCCAAGACTCTCAAATTCAAGGTAATTTCATATTTTCTATTCATATTCTCCCATGTTCTTTCTTTTTTAGATTTTGAATCAATGTTTTAAATTTCAAATTTGTTCGGTTTTAATTTTTAAACTTCTAAAACATTCCAGTAGTCTTAAAACGTTCAAAAGTATCCATTTTAATCCTTCATGTGTTTTCGTCTAACATTTGTTTATCCTCATCCACGCCTTTGAGAACATGTTTTGAAAATATGTATCAATCAAAGTACATGATTAGTCGAAATTTTATATCTTTGAATAAAATGTTAGAGATTTGAATATCTTCCTCGTTAAACTTAAAAAATATAGTAATTAGTTAAACTTAAAAAATAGTAATTAATTAAACTTAAAAATTAATTGTAAATTAGGAAGGTTGAAAGTCTAAAATAAAACATATTTGTTTTGTTTTGTTTTGTTTTTCATTTTTTTCATTTTTTTGGTTTTTTTTTTTAATTCAAATAAATGAAAGTTTTATAGATTAAGTGTGTTCATAGATTCCTTTAAATTAGAATTGAACTAGTCCAAATTTATTATAAATTTCAAAAAATACATGTTTTTATTTAATTTCTTTAAAATATATTTTTTTAACGCGATGAAGGGTAATTTTTAACCTACATATTGAAATTGAGTTCGTAACTTTTATTAAATGTTCGAAAATTTTATAATTAATTAGGTCGAGATAGATTTATTAGTTAATAATTAGGTTGGGTTAGATTTATTGGTATTTAATAAGAAATTACATTTTAAATTTAAAAAATTTGAACAATTGGGTTTGGATTTAAAAAATGTTTCAACCCCAACCCACGAACCCCATTGGGTGAATAATGAAAAAGTGGGTCTAAAAAAATAAAAATAAATAAAAAAAATGATTATTTTTAATATAAAGTATTAGTTAGATTAATGTTAGTAATAGATACATGATTAATTTGGGCAATGTTGATTGGAAATAGGTTACAAAGTCAACGAAGGTTGGAATGTCAACATTGATGTAAGGTCACTACACTCACATCCTTCTATCTACCATCACCCTCTCATCTTCAATCCTTCCAGATTTGATGTAAGAATATTATTCTCTCTTCTTCTTTTTTTTTTTTTTTTTTTTTAATTATACTGTAAATTTTAAAATATGTCAACGAAAATTTAAAATTTAAAAACTTATCAAATAATTTAAAATATATATATAAATATTGATTAGACATTTTATTCATACATTTTTTAAAATTAAAAAAAAACCAGATAGACACGAATCTAAATTTAGTTAATATATATATATATATATAAATGTTGGTGTAGGAAGAAGCAAAGCCCTATAGTTTTCTAGCGTTTGGAATGGGAGGGAGGCAATGTCTAGGGATGAACCTGGCCAAAGCCATGATGCTTGTCTTTCTTCACCGCTTGGTGACTTCTTACAGGTGACAGACCAATTATATATATATATTTTTTTTTTTCATTTTCCCTTTTTTCTTTTCATCTTTGAAAAAATAAATTTTAGAAATTTGGATGCCAAACACGTTAATGAAAATGCAATTTTTGTTTTTCTTCTAAACAAATACGATATTGAGATTTTTTACCGGAACGCGATTGGTTTTTAAGATCGTTTCTGGTTTTGGGCCTTTACTAGTTAGTCCCAATAAAGCCCCCAGATAGCGTATTTTTTTTAAACGAGTCCTCTGTAATGCAACATAGACTCCTTATTTTATTTAAAGGCCTTTTACTAGTTAGTCCCGAATAAAGCCCCCAGATAGCGTTTTTTTTTTTAAACGAGCCCTCTGTAATGCAACATAAAGACTTCTTATTTTATTTAAATTTCATAAACCTAAATTAAAACTAAATGATAAATATGATAACTAAAGCGAAATCCAGTAAAGTATTGTGCGACAAAACAAAGATTAATTAGATGACTTTGATCAACATACGGATTCTATTGTATCTGTATATGATACACAAAAGTAAGAGTACCTTTCTAGTCTTTATTTCTATCTAAAATTTCAAGATAGTTTTGAAACATTTATTAAAAAATTGTGGGTGAAAGAGTGGAGTATTATTTTTTATAATTAAGTTAGCCTAATTCTTATTCTCTTTAAAACGCTAATTAATTAATTAATTTTATGTAGATGGAAGGTGATCGACTCCGACCCGAGCATTGAGAAGTGGGCACTTTTTTCTAAACTTAAGAGCGGTTGTCCGATTATTGTCACACGTATTGAATCCTAAATTGCTCTATGTTATAATATTGCAATTAAAAACTTTTCTTTTTTGTCAAAATATGGTTTTCATAAAAAAAATAAAATAAAATAAGTCATTCAAAATAAGTAATAATTTTTTAAGTTTTGTCTTATATGATATATAAAATAAAAGAAATTAATTTATTGGACTTAATAATATCTCACTAACTAATTATTGAAATGATGTTTATTGATTTATAAATGATAACTATGTCCTCAATTATTAATATTATATTAGCTTTTCTTTTATAAAAAAGTATTTTTCTTTCCATAATAGAAATATTTTTTTTAATGCTCGAAACAAATAAGATTCATATGGGATAGTAGCCATTTTTTATATTCAACCTAATTGTTCGAGTCGTAATTTTTAATTTTTTTTAACCCACTTTTATTAAACAAGAACCCAACTACAAGTTTTTTTTTTTTAGTTGAGGTTGTTTGTCTTATTTATTTGATTTTTTTTTTAATAAAATAAAATGTAATTAGTAAAATATATTAACCACCCATTTTTAATATATATTTTTAAAAATTATCCAAAATTATTTTTAACCGTGGTTAGAGAATCCTGATCAAATAATTATGAAATATATTTTTTAAAAAAATTAACAATAAATTCGGATTTGTTCAGTTCAACCCAATTAATTTTAGGAGAATGCATGAACCAACTAATACATCAAAATTTCTTTTATCTGAACCAAACCCAAATTATACTAAGAGTTGAGTTGATCGGTTCTCTCAATCCATCAAAGTTTTTAAATACCCATAAAAATCCGTACATAAGCCAGTATTTACATAATATTTTTAAATAATGAGATATTATAATTAAAAATATTTAATGTTTGTAACACATGTTAGTAATATATCACGACGGGTAAATGTTTAATATTTGAGTTTATAAGATTTTAGTTATCAACATATACGTACACAAATATGATTTTTTAAAAATAATATAAAAAATAATCCAATGATCCAATCCAATCCCACCGCTAAAAATAATAATAATAATAATAAATAAATAAAAAAGGAAAGAAATTATAGTCATCAAATGTGGGATTTGTGAATGGTTATTGCACAAACTCAAATCCCAAGAAAATAACAAATAAAAAAATAAAAAACATCTCCCAATGTCCTTAAAAAGTTTGTCGGAAAGTTCGGAGAAAACGACGACGCTTTTGCCAATCATGAGCTTTCTTTTTACCTTTGCGCCTCCAATAATTGCCCTTCCCATGTCTATAAGATATTGCCTATACCCTTAATTTTAAATCCTTTGGATTTTGAAATTCAAGCAATTAATATTAAGGGAATCAACATGTTCACTAATTTAATCATTAATTTCTAGTATCCTTTTCTTATTATTTTAATTTAATCCATTAACCTCGATCGAAAGCTTTAAAACAGGTCAAGATCGGTCTTCGATCGAGGACTATAAAGATGAAACTACTGGGTATCGTGGTGTCGGTCTTATATTTACAATAAAACTACTGGGTATCGTCTTTTAGTAAGCAATATGAATCCTGATAGTTATCGAAGAAGATCATTCAATTTTACTAGACTGTACCTCAACACTAACGTTATTCCTCTGATAACGGTGACAACTCCAACAATCATGGATGGTAGAGGCGACAATAACAGCAACTTGGACAGTTGTGGGAACATATATGTAACAGCCCAAGTCCACCACTAGCAAATATTGTCCTCTTTGGGCCTCCTTATTAAACATCACTAACGTTATTCCTGTGACAACAACTCCAACAATCATGGATGGCACAGGTGGCGATAACAGCAACTTGGACAGTTGTGGGAACATATATGTAACAGCTCAAGTTCACCACGGGCAGATATTGTCCTCTTTGAGCCTCCTTATTAAACATCACTAACGTTATTCGTGTGACAACAACTCCAACAATCATGGATGGCACAGGCTATGACAACAGCAACTTAGACAGTCGTGGGAACGTAAAGGTGGCTAGTGGCATGGCGACACGTGCTATAAGGATATTTTAACGAAAAAAAAATTAAAAGAATTAATTTTATTGTCAATTATTTAGGTTGAAAAGTTTGGAAGAGAAACCCCACATGGCACTTAAGTTAGTGAATGTAATTATGATATGATATACTCTTCTTATCCCAATAAGATTTTCTCCTAATATTATAATTTAGTCCTTTTGGTTTACTCTAATTCTCTAAGTCCCCACCGCCGTCTCCAATTTTAAATTAAACCCCAATTCTAGGCTACAAAATGGAATTCTGAAACTTCCTTCATGCACTGCTTTTGTAATTTCCATTATTATTATTCTTGCTTTCTCCCCAAGACTTTCCCTTATTTACACTAATTGCCCATAATTAACGTGTTTTATTTTTTTGGCAAGTTCTCTAATTCTTGCCATTTCAATTACAAAATTCCTAAAATGGGTTGAAGTTTAAAGATAATTAAAAAAAAAATTAATTTTTAAATTTTGGGTTAGATTTTAAACTTATTTTAAAAAATAAATAATTCATTCTCGCTTCAATTCTGTTTGAACCCGTTTCAGCAACGAAATCCTTCATGGGTTCTGTCCCGCTCTTCCCTTCTCTTGAAATCCACTTCGAGTTGGGTCGGTGGAGCTGCGAGTCCAACTTCTCGAGCAGTCGAACATTCATCTCAGATAGACATGGTACGTTTGGTGGTTGTGAACTAATTTTTTTTATTTAAAATTGGTTTGTAAAATTGAAAGGTATGAATAATTTGAAGGGTGAAAAGAGAAGTGGTTAAAAGGTGTAATTAAAGTAAGAATAAATAATAATATGGGGAAGAAAAATGGCAATTTATTTATAAATGATAATAAATAATTAGGACCGACTCTTTTTTGGTACCCATCGGCGGACGTTGACAGGTAAATATATTTAATAATTAAAGTAATAATATATTAAGTTTTGTTTTTATAGGTTTTAATATATTTAATATTTTTTTAAAAATTAATAAATATATGGAATTATAAATTTAAATTGGTATCTAACTTTGAAATTTTAAAAAATTATTGAATTTTTTTAAATTTTTTTTAATAAAACTTGGAAAATAATATTACTCTTTTGACAAAAATACTAATAAATTTTCAAGGGTAACATAAAAAAATAATAATAATTTATAAAATATCGATAAATAGTTTTTACCTATATATTTACGGTAAAAAAAATTAAAACTTTTATAGTAAAACTATTTTAAATTTTTTAATTTTTATAGATTTTTATTTTAAAAGTTGGTTTTTTTTATTTATTAATTTAGCCGAAATTAATAATAAAATTAAATATTTAAATTATGGTTCATGATTTGTGATATAATTTGAATGGTTAATGGAATTACTTTTAAAATTAAGAATTAAATTAAAAAATTAACAAATTAATAATAATTGTTTTATTATAAATTTTGGAAAAAAGAATTGTGTCTGGAATATATTCCTTTTCATTTCAACGTCTAATTGAAAATATATATGTTTTAATTTAATTAGCGTAATATAATCCAATTAATTTGATTAATTTATAATAAAAGTATTTTTTTTTTCCAAATATATTAATTTGTGTCGGCTGACATCAATTCAAACATAATTCTGGGCGAAACTAAATTTCTTCCTCGATTTGACACTTACAAAATCTGCCCAAGCCCCAACCATTTTTTAACACCACAATATTTATTATATATATATAATAAGTATTATTTTTTAAAAATTAAATTAATAAAAATATCTTTAAATTTTCAATGGTCTAAAAAAAACGTTCCTAAACTTTTTTTAAAAAAATTTAAAAAAATACAATTTCCATTAATTTTTTTATAAAAATAATTAATATTTTGTTTCATAAATATCTTTATTTTTTTTTAATGTTTAAAAAATGCACTTAAAAATTTAAAATTAATTTTACTCCAACGTTTCAAAAATATTAATTAACTTCTAAGAGCAATATTATAAACGGAGATATAAAAAAAATATTAAATTTTTTTTATATAAAGGTAAATAATGTTAATGTTACGTTTAAAATTTTATGAATATTTTTTAAACATAGTAAATTTTAAACATATCTTTTATTCATATATATATATATATATATATATATATATATATATATATATTATTTTATTTTTTTTATGTTTAAGCATATTTTTTAAACAAATTATTAACTATTTTTATAGGGTAAATATATTCTTTAGATTTTTTATAAAACGGTGAAAATGAGAAATAAATTAACGAGTATTTTTATTTAAAATTAAAAAATAAATAAATAAATAATGGAAGTGAAGAATATTAGTTGGAGAGCGAAAGGAGAGCGACGATGTCCCGAACAATTTGGTCTGACATGTTTGAATATTTACAACAAACAAACAGAAAGAGGTGTCGAAAAAAACAACCTTTTCCGCTTTCAAATTCATCCGAAAGGGAAGAAATTAAAAAGGAAATGCCAAAATTTTGCTGCAAAATTCCCTGATTTTCATATCCCATATTTCTCATTATTACAATTCCGAGAAAAAAGGAGCATTTAATCCCAACCTTTTTTTTTTTCCTTCTTCTTCTTCTTCTTCTTCCTCCCCTGTCTGTCTGTCTGTCTGTTACTGATTTTTCTGTTCACTTGTCGGAATCCAAAATTCTCCCGCCGATGTGCAGCTTCTGCTCCGCGATGAACCTCTCCACCTTCCGGTTGAAGTCGTCGATGTCCATTTCCTCCACCGAATCCCTTAATTTTGTCGATTCTCTGCTTTCTTCCCGGCGAATCTCTGTCTTCGATCGCCGGAGTTTCCCTCTTTCTCGATTCTCTTCGAATCTCTCCGATTCTGTTCTCCGGTACTGCCTTGTCTCTGGGATGATCAAATGCAGGACAGGCGATCCCGGTGTCGGCGCCGTCGTCGTCGTCGTTGGATCGATTGAATCTTTGCTCACCGGCGATTTTTCTGTGTTCTTCTCTGCGACAGAATCGTCAACTGGAGCCGCCGAATTCTCCAGCGCCGTTGCCGTGTTTTTCTCGTCAACAACCAATTTATCGTCGACGGAGTAGTCTTTCGAAGCGATCAGACTCTCCGGCGAATCGTCGGCGGTTACTTGAGAAGACCGAGCGTCGAGGGTGGATTCGGCGTCGGTTCGGTTCGAACCGGAATTGTTGTCGGTTAAATGGGAGAGAGAGTAAACGACGAAGAGCATGGCGTGGAAAACGACGAAGACGAAGGTGTGACTGTTGAGGACGACGAGGATTCGCCGGAAAAAATGGCGGAAGAATGGTCCGGCGAGAGAAAACAAGCTGGAGCGGTGGAAAACGAGAAATAAGAACATAATAAACTCGAATAACCACTTGAGCTTCCGGCGGCGGCCGGAATTCGCCATGGAAATGGCCTTGACGGAGTCGAATCCATTGAGAACCATTGTTTAAAGATCGGTGAATATTACAGAGAAATGGGAGAAATTGAGCTCTTTATATAGAAAGGGGGAATTTAATTAATTATTAAGTAAAAGTGATTAATTAAGTAGCTTAGTTTAATTTAATTTAATTTAATTTGGGTTAGGGAGACTGATTTAAAGGGATTGGTTGGGGCAGAGCCACATGGACCGTGAGTGAGCCGACCACCGTGAGTGGTTCCAGGTGGGCCTTGACCGCCGCTCGTGCGTTGCCTGGACATGGGTCCGACCGCGTCACGCCACTCTTAGTAGCAACCTAATCAACCCAAACCCCTTTATTCTTGGGTTGAGTTGAGTTCGGTCGAGTACTTATTTATTTATTTTCTAGCAATGCAACGAGAAGTGTATATGGTTGTAGCCAACGATGCAACGAAAGATTATGTTGCTGAGACGAAAATGAAGCCATTAGCAATGAGCTAGCAACAGCCGTGGCTCGTGAGAGGGAGAGAGAGATTCAGTAACAATCTTTTTTTTTTTTTTTTTTATTGAACCCTACTCAAATCTCGAACATTTATGTTGGATTTGACATTTTTTTTTGACTCGTACCTCTACTATTAGGTCTTTGCACGACTTATCTTTAAATTTCAAAATTTTGTGTCGGGTAATCTTTTCGAAAGTTTCTATCGATATCTAAAATTTATTTATTTTATGTCCCGTAGATATTTAAAATTCAAAAAATATTTAATAATCCGTTAAACTATCACTATTATTGTCTTAAAATTACAAATTATTTAATAGATTTTTAAATTAATAATTTTATGTTCACCAAATTTTAGTATTTTATATAAATATAAATCTAAAATAACTTTATATGTTTAGTATGAAATTTAATTAAGAAAATTCATATAATTGAAGGGCATGATTGTAATTTTGAGTCTATTTAAATAATTTTATATTATAAATCATATTAATTATGAAAACCTTTTTTTTTTTTTTTTTGTTTGTAAGATATTAATAAATCCTTAATAAAAAAAAAGAAATTAATTAATTGCTTACTAACTAAAAGACAAAATGCATTTAAAGCACAAGGCAAATAGTGGGGCCCACCATACACCTAGATTTCCCACTTTCATTTCGCTCCAACCAATAGAAAAATAGCATTGAAAATAAAAATATCATTTTATTGCTATTTTTTTTATTTTAATTATAACATTAAATTGAAGATTATAAATTAATTTATTGCTTTTATCTACAAATTTTTTACATGATGATTGTCATTCTACGTATTACATTTGTCATAACATAGAATTACTTCGAGAAAAAATACGCTTAGTATAAGTCGTGATTTTCAATTATTTTAAATTTTTTTTAGTCATCGTATCCTTAGGATTGTTCTTATTTGGATGTGTTATCGATTTATTCATGTACCTCTCTTTTACTCTGAATTTTTATTTCAATAATTGTTTAAAAATATTTATTAAAGATATAAAATAATATTGTAGTTTTAGAAATAATAAAAACATAAAATGTGAGGTGAACAAAAAATAAAATGATATTTGAATTAGTAAAAGTTTTTTTAAATGGTGACGTGGCGACGAGTGTGGGAAAAAAAGGAAAGGGTGGAGCCCACAATCCCTACGCAAATGACAAAGTGCCACGTAGGACTTTCATTACCACAACTTCCATTTCCGCCGTTTCCCCACCCGAGGTTTACCCTTTTTCTTAAAATTCTTTTTCTTTAAATTAAAAATTTTATTTTTATAATTTTGTCGTCATAACTATACCTTTAATTTAACAAATTTGAGTGAATTATTGAATAAAATTTGTAGATATCTTGAGGACTAAGTTATGTCTATTTTAATTTAAAATTTAAAATTTAAAATTAATACTAATTTCATTTTTATAAATTTTTATAGATTTTTGTAGTCTTAATCATATAAACATATTTATATTTAATTATCTAAATTATGTGATAGTTTGAGTGGAAATAAGAGTATAAATAAATTGACTGTTATTTTAATAAATAAGACCCATTTAAAATTTAATCTATCAAATTGAAAATTTTAAAATCATTTTTTTTTAAATTATTTTTTAATCTTGTTTTGTCATTTCATGTGAATACTCATATTCCTACTCCCAACCAAAATCAAAAGAATTCCCATGAAATTATACCTTTATATTAATTCTCTCTCTCTCTCTCTCTCTCTCATCATTTATGATTCACATAAATAATAGTTTTTATTTTTAATTTTTGCAATTAATTTCAAATTTAATTTTAGCATTTTTAAAAATGATTAATTTTATAATACTTAGAATTGTAACATGCCAACCTATTTTATAAAATTACAAACTCATGTTAAAAGACATGTTTAAAGGCTTACTAAAAATACAATTGAAAATTTAAAAGTTTACAAATAAAAAATAGACACGAGCACAACCTAAAAGTTGAGGGGACGAAACTTTTTAACTTTTTAATTAATTTTCTATGTTATTTTTTAATGGGTATAAGATTTTCACCCAATTGTTAATGATAATCATACACGAGTTGAATCAACATGGTCATGACACGATATCTCATCGATATCTAAGTTGGTTGAACGGAAGAATTTATTGAATTATATCTTTGCTCATATCAAATCCCTCACGACACTTTAGCTTGAATACAACAATATCCATTCGTCTTAAGTCAAGTCAATTCAACCCATGTGCTATGTTAATATGACCACGATCGAGTAGACTACATGCTACCAAACAACTTAGAAGTCTTATGTTCGAAGTCCTCGTATTAATTTAGATGTTTTTGGATGTTTTTGGACATGATTTGATGGTAGAGTGGTTGAGGTAAAAACTAAGACAAATGGGTTTGTTGAATGTGAACAGAATCCAATCTTAAGGTAAACGTCAACACCTAGTCAATGTATTTAAGGCTATGATTATTATTTTAGTAATAAAGTGAGCTCCAATCTAAAAATCAATTGTAATATAATAAATAACAATGGATACAGATTTTATCCAAAACTCAAAGCTAATGATATTACAAATATATGTCATTGCATTGCATTCCACATGAAAGATTTATGTAACGCTCTAGCTTATCTTATGTTGAAAAAATGAAGCATTTCAATGCTATAAAGACAAAGATGTTACATTCATGAATTCCTTTTCTACCATTCAATCTCCCTAGAATGATCGTGCAGGTTCGAAATCGACTAAAAGCAGAGAATGATCGTGTCCTATAAGGTAGTACCAATAGCAACAAGATGCAACTTAAGCAGCAGATGAAAGGAAAACTAGGAAACTAGAAGGCTGAAAACTTAGCTGCTACTATGGCATGGCAGAGCTGGCTGCTACAAATTTACATGTTAGTCGCGCTCAGCATCTTCAAGCTCTTCGTCCTCTGGTACTCCGCGAAGGTAAAGAACATTATTACACCTGCCAGGAAAAAGCACGAATATTGCCCGTGTTTGATGTTAGAAACTTGGAACTTGCAGAAGAATTTATCGGTAGGCACCAAAGTGTCAAACTTGAAAGACAACGACAACGGCCATATCCTTACTAGACCTCAAAAAATAAACGCGTGCATACAACTTTATTCTTCATGTCAATACCAACTAAAATGAAATTTATAGTAAGAGGAAAATCCATCGACTTTAAAAATCATGAGGGCTCAAGTCCCTCTACCCCCAAAACCCTAAAAAAGGCTCGTTGGCCTCTTTAATTACCTATCCTTTCATTATCGATTCACAATTCATTATGTTTCTCCTTTATTCGACTCTTTCACAAGCCTATTTGAGCGGAAATTGGATTTCTTATCACTTTGGACATGTTTAGGAGTGATTTTGAAAGAAACATGCCATTTTGGTTGTATCTGTGTTTTTCCTAACATTTGTGCTTGAGCATATATATTATGGACAGTACACATGCATTACTAACTACAAATAAGCATTGATGCACTTGATATTGCAATGTGCCAACACTGAAAGAAGGTTACCTGATCAATATTTCTCCGAGACTCCCAGTACATTGTCCATCAATATATTCCTCGGTGTTGGCAAGCTGCATTTAAAAAGTTGTATACAGGAATCAGCCACTGAAAGAGACTATGGGCTCAATTGAGAAATACGTTCATAAGTAGTTTTCTGTTTTTAAAAACAAAAATTCAGAGAAGAATTAGTTTTCCTTTCGTATCATTTAATTTGTTGTTCTTCCTTTCAAAATCTAACAGTTGCAAATCAATTTCAATGATTAACACTGCCGAATTACTCCATCGCATTTCGTATAAACAATTATAAAAACAAAATGGATAGTTTCGTTTCCAAACTACATAATCAGAAAATGACAAACAGAACAAATCAAGTTAAATTCAAATATGAAGGACTTTGAATCAGTCAGTGGTAAGTTTGAATGGTTCAATTAAAAGGACGATTGCAATAAGTAGAAACAACAAAGAGACGATCAAAATCTTTTAAAAAAACCTGTAGAAACAAACCTGCAAGTTCATGTACGAGTAGAAACAATACAAGTAGAAACAAACCTGTAAGTTCATGTACGAGTCTACAGAGACCAGAAAGCCTGAAATGGAAACGAAACTCAGTATAAACAACAGCAGGCAAGAAAATAAGAAAAATAAGAAAAATAAGAAAAACAAGCAGCAGGTAGAAGCAAACCTTTGTACTCCATCCCCCACTTCAGTTTCACAACAACAGTCTTTCCAGTCAAATTGTTCAAGAACGGTTTCGGGTTAACTGGAATACTCTACAATGCCCAAACAATCATGTAAAGAATTCAGCAGGATTTACAAATCAAAGAAAAATCAGGGGAAAATCTTAAACAACAAAGAATCTCTGGTGCTATCTGATTCTACATAACGATAAATTAACACTTGATCCATAGTTAAAAAACAACAATAACACATAAACACTAGCTGAAAAAGCGATGAAAACGAAAAATCTTGCTTACCATGGTTCCGAATGATCTGCAAGCGCTTCTCTGGGATCAACGGAGGCTCAAAAGAACGAGGAGACGAAGAAAATGGCGCTCTTTCTCTCTAGGGTTTGTTTTCCCTCCCCTTTTCCCTTTCGTTGAGTCTTTGGGAATTTTCGGCGGCAGAGGGAATTGGGTATTATGAGCCGGGTAATGGACTACATGGGCCCATAACTTGAAGCCCATGGGCTTTTAGAGTGAGTCCTCCTAACCCAATATTCCTATATTTATATTACAAAATTGAAGTTTTGGCAAAAAAAATAATTAATTAATTAATTAATTTTGTTTAATAAGTTGATTTTATTGAAATTATATATATATACACACGTCAATTGGGTCTGTTCCTATCCCAACCAACCCCAGAACTTTGAATGGGCGGCATATTTTGGACGGTAGAATAGGGAGAGGGGGAGTCGTGCCCATTCTCTCTCCGGGAATGAGCAGGAACACCAAATTGAAAGACCGAAGACATGTACATGACATGGAACGAAATATTAAAAAATACGTGAGATGATTTGATAGGTTGCCTGTAAAAAGAGTTTATTGACTGCATAACAATCCAATCTTGTGTGTAGCATGTGGGGCCATGTCGCCCGAGCGATCATAGTACAGCCGCTCGTCATATATATATTATTTTTCGGTTTGAGTTAAATTGAATTTTTTTTAAAAACTAAAAATTTGGGTCGATTCGATAGTTGACATTTTGAAATGGCCAGTATCGCTCAGTCGGTAGAGTAGAGGACTCAAAATCTTCGTGTCACCGGTTCAAATTTGCTATTGACAATAAGGATAGTGTGTAGGAAATGAAATGGCCCGTATTACTCAGTTGGTTGAGCAGAAGACTCAAAATCTTCGTCTCATCGTTCAAATATGCTACTGAAAATAAGGATAATGTGTAGGAAATGGGCAGTATTGCTCAGTTGGTAGAGTAGAGGAATCAAAATTACTGAAAATAAGGATAATGTGTAGGAAATGGGTGGTATTGCTCAGTTGGTAGAGCAGAGGACTCAAAATCTTCGTCTCACCGGTTTGCTGTGTAGGAAATGGCTGGTATTGCTCAGTTCGTAGAGCAGAGGACTCAAAATTACTGAAAATAAGAATAATGTGTAGGAAATGGGCGGTATTGTTCAGTTGGTAGAGCAGATGACTCAAAATCTTCGTCTCACCGGTTTGCTGTGTAGGAAATGGCCGGTATTGATCAGTTGGTAGAGTAGAGGACTCAAAATTAGTGAAAATAAGGATAATGTGTAGGAAATAGCCGGTATTGCTCAGTTGGTAGAGTATAGGACTCAAAATCTTCGTTTCACCAATTTGCTATGAAAATAAATAAGCAAAATGTGTCAGAAATGGTCGGTATCGCTCAGTTGATAGAGCAGAGGACTCAAAATCTTCGTGTTATCGGTATAGCTCAGTTGGTTCGATAAACTTGATAATATAGTTATAACTTAAAGGTTAAAATATTTAAATAAATATAATTTTCTTTAATAATTTAAAAAACAACTGGAGAGTAAAATTTATAATTCTAAAAAATTATTTAAAATAAAAGTGAAAAAAGTAAAAATAATAATAAGTGTAAAGTCCCAACACTCGAAAGTGAGGAAACCCGTCGCCAAATTCTGCCTTGGAGAAGACGAAAACCCCTAAATCCTCCATTAAAACGACCTCAATCCTCTCCCTTTTCAACTGGAGAGATCGTGATTGTGGCTCTGCGAACCTCTTGAATCCGTCTTACCTTCACCAAAAATGTTTAGGAACCAGTACGATACGGACGTGACGACATGGAGCCCGGCGGGGAGGTTGTTTCAGGTCGAGTACGCGATGGAGGCTGTGAAACAAGGCTCCGCCGCCATTGGTCTTCGATCCAAGACTCATGTGGTTCTGGCTTGCGTCAATAAGGCTAATTCTGAACTATCCTCGCACCAGAAGAAGATCTTCAAAGTTGATGATCACATCGGCGTTGCCATTTCCGGGCTTACTGCTGATGGACGCGTTCTTTCCCGTTATATGAGATCTGAGTGTATCAATTATAGTTACACTTATGAATCTCCTCTTCCTGTCGGTCGTCTTGTAGTTCAACTTGCCGATAAGGCTCAGGTTTGTAAACGAAGCCCTTGTTTTGTTCACAATTTTGCTGGCGCTTTGGATTTCTTTTGCATTTTAGATATGTCAGCTGCGTGAGTATTCATGTGTTGAATTTATTTGGTTAGTGGGGGGCTTGGTACAGAAATTACGAATTAATGTAGCTGGATGGATAGTTAAAGGGGAACTTTTCATTAAGCTCTCAAAGCTAAGGAATACAATGTCGAGTTTATCTTTAGTCAGTAGACGAGGTTATGGAACATATGGGAAATGGTAGAAGGTCTCCTCTGTGTTCTCTATTTTACAGCATTTTGAAGACAGCTAAAGATTATAGGCTTTCTGTTTGCTTCTTATCTTATGTAGTTAGTATTTGTTCCACTGATTCTTGATCTCGCAGTGGTCGAAGAAAACCAGGAATTTTAGGCCTTTAATTTGTTTGATGATTCCAATTGTTGAATTACTTTGAACCTGCCTATCGTTGCTGGTAAGTTTTTATTTTCTTTCTCAAGTATTGTTGTTTAGTAGTTTAGGTTTTAGTAGAAGCCAGGAGGCTGTGTAATTATTTAGGGTCACAATGTATCTGCCTACCACTTTTTGTGGCTCTTGGATATATAAGAGATTAAAGAATGCTTTGAACTATGTATGTAACGACCCAGATCCACCGCTAGCAGATATTGTCCTCTTTAGGTTTTCCCTTTCGGGCTTCCCCTCAAGGCTTTAAAACGCGTCTGCTAGAGGAAGGTTTCCACACCCTTATAAATGGTGGTTTGTTCTCCTCCCCAACCAATATGGGACATCACAATCCACCCCCCTTCGGGGCCAGCTTCCTCGCTGGCACTCGTTCCTTCCTCCAATTAATGTGGGACCGCCTCCAAATCCACCCTCCTTTGGGGCCCAGCGTCCTTACTGGCACACCGCCTCGTATCTACCCCCTTCGGGGAACAGCGAGAAAGCTGACACATCGTCCGGTGTCTGGCTCTGATACCATTTGTAACGACCCAGATCCACCGCTAGTAGATATTGTCCTCTTTGGGCTTTCCCTTTCGGGCTTCTCCTCAAGGCTTTAAAACGCGTCTGCTAGGGGAAGGTTTCCACACCCTTATAAATGGTGGTTTGTTCTCCTCCCCAACCAACGTGGGACATCACAATGTATCTACCTGATTGTCATGGGGTTGGATAGCTCTCAATATCATGGGGTTGGATAGCTCTCAATAACTTTTCCTGTGAAGGTTTTCTTAATAGAGTCATACAAGTTGAGTACTCTTATATGCACGTATATGTCACATGATTGATGGACTGAGTACGAAACAAGAAACGTATGCAGCTGGATGATTGAGGGCATGGTCTCCATTATACTAGGCTCCAAATTCCGAAAGTTCTATCTTAGTATCCTGCATTGTCTTTGATAACCTTGTATTTTGAGAATTGGGGGTTTAATTCATTAGTATACGACGGGGCACTGAGAGATAGCATGGGGATTAGGAATTCTCTACCTTCAATTTCAAGAAAAAGAAGTCAAAGTTCAATTTCATTCAATTGTGGTTGAGCCGTGTCGGTGTTATTCGTTTAAATAGATCCTTTATAAGGTTAGATTCTGCTTTCAAGTTCTGTGGTTTATCTAATTATTTTCATTTCTCAATTCCTTTTTACTGCCATAGTTTTAGCTTTGTCGACAATTTAGGCAATTAAATTCATAATGCAAGACTCATATTATAGTGTAGATGCAGAAACAATCTTGGTAACCTGATTTATTGCATTTATTCCCACTTTTCTTGTTAGTAAGAAACATTGTGAATACTCGGAGTGGGAATAAATGGCATCCACAGCAAGCTAATACATGTAGACCTTCCAAACTAGGTTATGTTACAGAATGAACAACACAGTATAAAGAACCAAAGGCATTCTAACAAGAGGCTGTTTAAAGAACAAAATCACTAAAGTTATGTAAAGTTACTTCCAAGGGCTCTATCTTTTCCATTCAGCCACCTCTGTGAGGAGTCTATCTTTTATGCATTTGCGAAGGAACACCGAAAATTGCATTCACTCCTCTTTAACCCCTATTTTTTTCTGCCGTAAATTAGGTTCATTAACCAATTAGGTTAAAGGGTAGAACTACCATTTTGGTGTACCCTTTTCTTTCTTTGTAGAGACAGATTTCAATTGATTTCTAGTTTTATAAATCACGGTGAATTCCTTCCCACGATAATATTTTTAAGTGTTCAGGATATTCCTTATATCGTTGCATGGGATGTAGTTGTTAATTGTCATTTATCTTTTGCTGGTGCCTCCTTAAGTCATTTAGATGTCTGTCCCTAGGCTGTAGGTAGGATTCAGCACAATTTCAAAAGCCATGCCTTCATGCTCCCCGTATTGTGGGTTTCCTATCGTTTCCTCTATTAGAAAATGTATCCATCTTTCCTAGGATGTGCTAAAATTCTAGAGCGCTGAAACAGGACTTCAGGCTGGATATACTTTGTTAAGGGTATAATCTCTCTGAACTTTTAATATTATTTGTATTTCCAGGACTCTATGCTCTGGTTATTTTCACAGGAGAAACTAGTTTTGAGGTTTAGAAATGTTTGCTTTCTCTAACAATGTTGGCCACTGATTGCAGGTCTGCACCCAGCGCTCGTGGAAACGTCCATATGGTGTTGGTCTGCTAGTAGGTGGTCTGGATGAGTCTGGTGCTCACCTTTATTACAACTGCCCCAGTGGGAATTACTTTGAATATCAAGCTTTTGCCATAGGATCCCGTTCACAGGCTGCAAAGACATACTTGGAAAGGAGGTTTGAGAACTTCAAGAACTCTTCTAGAGACGACTTGATCAAAGATGCACTGATCGCCACCAGAGAAACCTTGCAAGGAGAAAAACTGACTTCCTCCATATGCACAATTGCCATCTTAGGAGTTGGGGAACCTTTTCATATATTGGATAGGGAAACTGTTCAGAAGTTGATCAATGAATTCGAGATCGTTAAGGAGGATGACGTCCCTGCTGCAGATCAGGATATCGAGCCAGATCAGGGTGATTCTGCTGCTGCCCCCGAACCAGCTGCAAGGACAGACCAAGGTAGTGCCCCGGAACAAGGCGTGGCACCAATGGACATCTAACCCACATCCCGCAGACATCGCTTCCTCCTCCCCCGCTTCCAGGTTGTTGCTGTCAGGTTTGGTGGTTTGGTTCTTTAGTGCAGACATTTTGATACTTCTCTGTTGTGGCTTAAGATTTCAATTTTACATTTATGGAAGTTGTATCAGATTGTTGAAAACATGTTATCTCAACTGATTATGTTTTTCTATTATATTATTGGGAGAAGAACGTTGAGCTGATCCACGATGTTCTTTAGAAACTTGGAATCAAGTTAGTGTTAGGAGGAAGATCATGATGAACTGATTCTTGAGGCCCATCAGTAGCAGACTGTTTTTTATGGATATGATGAGCCCCAGGACAGGTTTGCATGAATGGCTTACCACTTATCATTGGCGATGTATATGAATAAATACTTACACACAGGTATAATATAAGAAGCATAAAAGCCATATGCCAGAGATTATCAAAGACTTCAAATTACTTATCCTTCCATGAAATTTGGAGGAAAGTTCAGCCATCCCAATAATGAAAGAGATGCCTGTTTAAAAGACAAAATTCATGATAATGAAAATGGATGGGACAATGATAGTGACATGAGAAAAATGATTGATCATTGAGGGATCTCTTGGACAGGAAGCCCTTTGATCTGCAAATGTTTGTGCATCCATTGCCAATTCTCTGGGGTGACCTCACCCCCGAGTGAACGGATAACAGAACCACCGCTGCACGACCCCAATTGACAGCATTTTTCCAGAGACAATCCCTTCACTAATCCGTACAAAAATCCGCTCGCAAACAGGTCACCTGCTCCGGTGGCATCGGTCGCCTTTGATTCCCCTATTGCTGGAACTCGGACAATCTGAAAGTCCATATGCATTCACAAACACTTAGATTTCACAGTGATCTCTTGACTTTGTATGTCGTTTGGGGCCAAACTAGAAATCAAAACCAGTATAGGAAAAAACAGAGGATTCGCTCGATGCAGGCATTGAGAAACATTCCTGTCCTATTGTGCAAGAAAGTGTGCAAACATAAACAGAGGATTCGCTCGATGCAGGCATCGAGAAACTTTCCTGTTCTATTGTGCAAGAAAGTGTGCAAACATTAAGGGTTCACATATCCATGTGTAGGCTTAAGAAACTGGTTTTGATTGTTTTCATCACTTCATGAGATGAGAAGGTAATCTAATGTTTTTCAAGATCATCACATGTGACACGAAAGGTGAAAGGTGAATCTCTAACCTCTTTTCCATGCTTAGCGATACAACCATTGGCGCCTAACGTCACGACAGCCCATTGACAGTGCTTCGCAAGAAATTCTAGAGCAACTTCAGGATCAGCATCTTTCTCACCACTGTAAAGATTAAATATAGTATCAGAAATCAAGGCCATCACCCTAGAGCTAAAGTAGCCAAGTTTGAAAGCAATGGCTATCATCACCCTATCAACTCTTTTGCTTCGTCCTCATTCGCAAAGCAAAGGTCTATATCCCCAGACTCTAGTAGCTGGAGAAGAGGCGATCTAAAATCCCGAACCATCTGGCCAAACATCGATATGTGAGATTCTTTATTGAACAAGTAACAACTTCTTCTTCGAAACTAAAAGGAAGCTCATGTCGTCAAGGAATATACCTCGAAACTGGCCAAATCCAAGGATACAAAAACTTTCTCTTGTTTGGCCATCTTTACAGCCGCTTCAATAACTTCCATGTTAAATATACTATATCTCATTACAAGCCACTGCAACAAAGACATGGCAAGACAAGAATCTTTCAAGTGTGGCAATTGATTCAATAGAATGATATCAGTTGAAAAGATATGACATGACATGATGATCAAAGAACATAAATACGAGGGTGAAGGCAGAAAAAGAAAGCTCTTAAAATGAATAATATGTTCGTGATCCATTTTCGATCCTGGCCGCTATACAAGAACATAAAGATGTGAGTATGCTAACCTTAGCTCCTTTGAAGTCATCTCTAGTCAGTTCATTTGCCTGAAAGATGCCAAAACAGATAGCCATCTAAGTTAACCTGTTTATATCCAAAACGCATAATGAATCACGCACGAACGAAGAACACGAACTCCGAATCGAAGAGATAATATACCTGAACTTTGACTGCACTTGAGAGAGAGGGTCGCATTGTGCGATTTCCCATTGCATCGACCAGGCAAACACACTGCCGAATAATTCACAATACATTCTCAGAACTTTAAAATACATAAACACAGAATGCAAATTTGGATACCCCTCCATTAAAGGAGAAGCAGACCTGAGCTGTGGGACCTTTAATCATCCTCAACCTTGAGAGATTGACCCCATTGGAGCTCATGTTACAGACAAACAATTTTCCTTGCTGATCATCGCCATAGGCGCCAATAATTCCACAGCTGACTCCAAACCCCGCACTCAATCCTCGAATTGTGTTGGCAACACTTCCCCCCGCTATTGTCTTGAAAGGAGTCAGCACATCAGGCGAGGAAAGGATATATGATTTCACCTCCCTCAGTATATTCTCAAGCTCTTCCATTCCCACCTAAATCCATATATATATATAAACAACGAACAGAATGCATGAAAAGAAACTCAAACAGACGAAATCCAGCACAAATTACGAGTAGAACATAAAATCACAAGAACACCAACCAGCCAAACTCATAAAAATGAAGAACAAAAACAACACCACCGCTCGAAATCCAATTGCACAGAACACTATAAAATCACTTCTAAAATCACACAGAATAACGATAAGGATAAAACGATTCAATAGGGTAAAGAAACAAAAACAACGCCAGAAGCAGAATCCGCTCGCACCGATCAAAGATCAATCAAAAACACAGAAACGAGTCAATACAATCCTAATCTTAAAATCAAGGATTCCAGAACAGAAGACGTAGTTGAGCGATAGAAATAAAAAAAAGTAAGTTTACAGGCATTGAGCCACCGCGGTCGCCGGGAATTCGATCGAGAAGAGAGGGATCGACACGGGCAACATGGTCGATGAGGGCAGCGGGTTGAAGACCAAGAATAAGAGGGGCGGCGGGTTGAGACTCATTGGCAGTGGGAAGCAAAGGCTCGGCTCCCATTTTCGTGGATTTAAGACCCTGTTTTCTCTGCCCTTTTTGCCATTTTCAGTACCATTCATTATATAGAACTCCGTGGAAGGGAATCTCTGAGCCATGGGACCAGAGAGACCTCTCCACAAAAGAGAGAACCCAACTCAATTATGACTCACTTTCCCCAAATTGCCCTCCCTACATCTTCGTGTTTACTCCATTCTTATACCCTTTTTTGGAATTTTACAATTCTACATAATCTATTTCTTCCCCCATTAATTAGGCACCATATTTTATTTTATTTTAATATAAAGTTAATATTATAATATATATATATATATTTTTAGTTTCAATAATATATGGTGTCCACCTATTTTATTCTACCAAAATAAAAAAATGAAAAAAATTCTATTATTAAAATAGTAGTTATACGCTTAAATGGTTATCAAGTGGGAAAAGCCAATTCGTTCTTGGGTCGCCCACGGCCAAGCGACGTATGCTCGAGCATTTGACCCTGATTCAAGAAGACGGTTTTAGAAAACGGGAGCAAAGAGATTTCGTTCGTTTTTGCGTCGCCTACGGCCAAACGACGTATGCTCGAGCTTCTAGTCCTGATTCAAGAAAATTTTAGAAAACGGGGGCAGAGAGATTTCGTTTGTTCTTGCGTCGCCTACAGCCAAGCGGCGCATGCTTGAGCCTCTGGCCCCAATTTAAGAAGAAAGTTTTAGAAAACGGGAGCAGAGAGATTTCGTTCGTACTTGCGTCGCCTACGGGCAAACGACGTATGCTCGAGTCTCTGGCCCTGATTCAAGAAGAAAGCTTTAGAAAATTGGGGCAGAGAGATTTCGTTCGTTCTTGCGTCGCCTACGACCAAGTGACGTATGCTCGAGCCTCTAGCCCCAATTCAAGAAGAAAGTTTTAGAAAACGGGAGCAGAGAGATTTCATTCGTTCTTGCGTCGCCTATGGCCAAGCGACGTATGCTCGAGCCTCTGACCCCAATTTAAGAAGAAGGTTTTAAAAAACGAAGGCACAAATATTTCGAAAGAGAGTTTTGAAAGCAAGATTTGAGAGATATTTTTCAAACCTAATAAAGCAACATGAAAAAGGCTTCAAAATATTATTTTTTTTTTGTATTATTTTGTAAAGTAGTGTTTCATGCCTTATATAAATGTTTTTAAACCTTGAAATTTTATTTATAATAAATAGAGACCTATTTGATTATAATAATTAATTTTCAATTCAACTATATGTAAATAAAAGGGTCGGAAAAGTTTTGTAATACCAAAATAAAATATATATATATAAACTCGATCCGGTCACGTTATCCTCTTGAATTACTTGAGTGAAGATAGTCCCTACAAATCCAGCAAAGCACGCTTATCTTTAAAATTGCTATAATCGAGCCACCGAAATGAAATTTTTTTATATCCTCAGGATCACTTTCATTGAGCTCATTAAGGCCTCGACAACCTGTACCAAATATTCATACTCCGAAATATAATGTTATAACGTAAATGCCGACGAGTCCAAGTACTTTAACAAACAAAGTGAGAAGTAAAATCCAAGCCTCAGCAGCTTCCACACCACTGTAGAAGTCAATTTCAGACACTCTTTTAACATCAAATGCTTCAAAATAACATATGAGCTAAATGATTGGAGAAAAAAAATATTGGATCTTCAAGAACTTACATTCTACTTTATGAAGTCAGTTTCATCCTGAGCAGTAAAACCAACAGCCAAAGTGCTATGATTCTGCTGTAGAAGATGATCGATATTATTATGCTGAGTACTCTTTTTGTGTTTTTGCATGTGATGCTAAAATATTCCTCCTCATCAGCTAAAACGACTCGAGATTGAACGAAAGGGTGGCTTATTTCTGCAAAGGCTTGGGATCTTTATCGGGGTGGACGAGCTCAGGGGGTGTTTCAAGAACAACACTGAGCGTTGAGTCATCTTCCTCGTCCTTGCGAGTGAACTTCTTGCGAAGCGCCTTCTCAAGCTCGATTCTATCAAAAGGCTTGGCATTTTCGGCTACGTGAACCTGTGCAAGGTCCGAGTAATTGGTGGCAGACTGAGATATGAAAGCTCTCTCTTCATCAGTGAGCTTTCTGAGGAATTTTGCTGGATTGCCTCCCCATACCTGCAAATAAACATCATGGTAAGGCTCGCTACCCATGATCACGTAAAGCTTAGATAGAAGCCTAAGCGCAAGCTCGAATGCACGTCGAGATCAGATTGTTCCAAGTTCCAATTAAGAGATCATTGAGGATTAATATCCAGGGGAACTGCAGCTAAGCTGTTCGTTATTCTGTAGCCTTATAGGTGCTCTTGTAAGAAAAAAGAAGAAGATGACGACACGAATATTAGGTTTCGGGAAGACACTGGTTAATATAAAGCCTCTTCCAGATGACTCTCTGCTCAATGCCCAGTACTAAAGGGAATTTATCGGAGGTATGGAACTCCGAAAGTCGAGATTTGGATTTAAGAATGAATCTACTTGATAGAGGTATGAACTGGGTTTTCCCAATGGAAAGGATAGCTTTGAGCAACAGATTGAAATGAATCTTTTTGCCTGCTCAACAGATTGTAATCTTTGTGTAATTCACCTAACCTTGATTTGATCTGCAAGACCTATATTCAGGAGTTTAAATACGCATGATAGAACTCAAAGATGGAATCTTTATGTAACGGCCCAAGCCCACCACTATCAAATATTGTTCTCTTTGGGCTTTCCCTTTCGGGCTTTCCCTCAAGGTTTTTAAAATGCATATGTTAGGGAGAAGTTTCCACACCCTTATAAAGGGTGTTTCGTTCTCTTCCCAACCGATGTCGGATCTCACACTTTATATATCTACATCTTGCCCGCTTCATGTAAAAGAGATCGAGAAAACGATGCAACCATCTATTTCTTCAATGATTTTGCCATGATTGAGTGGCACATTCTTTCTATATTTGGGTCGCTTTCTGAGGACATCACAGAGTGTCTAATGAAAAATATAACAACAAAGCCAAAGTACTTTGGGATTGTACATAGATATAAATGCCAGACTGTTTCATGACGAACAAAAAACGTTGGGGTTCGCCGTACGGCCTAAAATTTCAACTTGGAGTGCCTTTCACAAGTCTTCGTAATTTAAATCGTTTCTTGATCAACCCTGGTTTAGGGTTGTTTTTTGTAACCAGGACGTATATCTCATTTTTTCTTGTTCTTTTTTTCTTATTTATGGTTCAAAATTATTTTCTTTCATTCATTCTGTCTTCCTTTTTCATGGAAAATATGTTTTTTTAATTAAAAAAATGTTGATAAATACCTCTCCGGAGGGGATCTTAGTATTCTGCCTCACAAGAGCTCCAGCAGCTACCATAGCATTCTTCTCAACAATGGAGCCATCAAGCAACATTGCTCCCGTCCCAATAAAAGCCTCGTCCTCAACGGTGCAGCCATGTAATACAGCACTGTGACCTGTCAAGTTCAAACTTTCTTTAAGAAAAATTAAAAAACATCAACATGTGCAACCTCAGTATGGTCAGTTGCTCACAGTATACAGGCAAAATGAATCAGCAACAAATATATTATAGGCTGTAGCTAAGATAACACAGGCAAAGTACACACACCTATGGTGACATTGTCGCCAATGATTGTCGGCAAAACCTTTCCACTTAGATTAGATTTTGCCACGTGCACAAGGGAATTGTCCTGTATGTTGGTTCCAGATCCCACACTGATGCTGTTCGCGTCACCTAGTGAAATTGATAATTAAGTTATGGAACAGAGCTTAAAAAAAGTCTATGTAAAAGTAATGTCATGGGCTAACAAGCCTAACATGATATAAATTAAAAGTTGTGCCTGAAGATATATATATTCTTTTTTTCGAGAAGAAAAGACGTATCTACATATATTTAAAGCACGTAGAGTGCATAACAGTCCCCGGAAGTGTGTTAATGATTAATGAAGAGATCAAACAAATAATTATTTTTAAAAATCACAACTGTTAGATGAACACGACTCTCCACAATGGTATGATATTGTCCACTTTGGGCATAAGCTCTCATGGCTTTGCTTTGGGCTTTCTCACAAGGCCTCAAATCAATGGAGAGACTATTCTTTGATTATAAACCCATGAACATTCACTAAATTAGCCGATGTGGGACTTTCATCACTTTCATTATCCAACACTTCCTCTCGAATAAAGTACGCCCCTCCCCTTAATCGAGGCTCGACTCCTTTGGAGTCTTAGTCATTTTTTTACTATGCCTTAGAGGAGGGTTGACACCTTTTCTTTTGGAGTCCTTTGTTCGACATTTGAGGATTTACCAATCTATTGGCACGACTAAGTTTAGGGCATGGCTCTGATAGCATGTTAGATGAACACGACTCTCCACAATGGTATGATATTGTTCACTTTGAGCATAATCTCTCATGGCTTTGCTTTGGGCTACCCCAAAAGGCCTCAAACCAATGGAGAGAGTATTCTTTGATTATAAACCCATGAACATTCACTAAATTAGCCGATGTGGGACTTCCATCACTTTCATTATCCAACACCTCCTCTCGAATAAAGTACGCCCCTCCCCTTAATCGAGGCTCGACTCCTTTGGAGTCTTAGTCATTTTTTACTATGCCTTAGAGGAGGGTTGACTCCTTTTCTTTTGGAGTCCTTTGTTCGACATTTGAGGATTTACCAATCTATTGGCACGACTAAGTTTAGGGCATGGCTCTGATAGCATGTTAGATGAACACGACTCTCCACAATGGTATGATATTGTTCACTTTGAGCATAAACTCTCATGGCTTTGCTTTGGGCTACCCCAAAAGGCGTAAGAGAGTATTCTTTGATTATAAACCCATGAACATTCACTAAATTAGCCGATGTGGGACTTTCATCACTTTCATCATCCAACAACAACAATACCCAACATATCCAATAACACAAACTGTCACTACATTAGTTTGTCACAAACACCTTCGCGTTGTGTAAGGAATATTGGCACGGGTAATATCAAGGATGTTATTGGATATCGAAAGGGTATATTTGTCATCAGTGAAATTGTAAGAAACTTGATGTCAATACAATAGTGTGACAAGTTTAATATGGACAAAATTTTAGAGAGTCCAAACCTTTCAAAGCGTGTTACTTATCGGACTAGAAAAATGTTGTAACTGTAAACGAGTCTCTTACATAGGTTTTACCTCTCAATACGCATCCATACCAGATAGATGATCCACTTCCAACTTGGACATCCCCAATAATGGATGCACTTGGAGCCACAAACGCGTCCTTGTCAACAACAGGAGCCTTATCAAATACGTTCATCAAAGTTCGATGCCTAGACACTGCACGAAACCTTAGGCATATTAGACTATCAGGTATCAAGATGATAGAACAAAAAAGGGGAACTAATAAAGAAATTGAGGTACCAGAACAACCAATATATAACAGAAAATGAAGCAAATCTAAAAAGAAATGTGTTTCAGTGACAGTACCATTAATAATTAGACATTTCACTAGAACTATGATACCCAAAGTACATCTGCAATTGCAAATAAGGATTCCATAATATCGTAGTAAGTATCGTTTTGACCGCATTTGACACCCTCTCTTCGGAAACAATAGAACCATTTCACGAAGTATGTGTCCAGATAGCCCAAAGTCTCGATCGTTAGCTCTCAGTCTTCCGGTTAAAAAACAACATCGATGAAGACGTGTGGGTGGGTGCACTATTACGCGGTGGGGAATCAACAATTCTAATAAAAATCCCCAAGGAATTCGCGTACATACCCGTAAACCTAATACACGAAACCCCAGACACTACACAAATGGAGAAGTCAATCAATGGGAACCCTTGCGTAACTACTCAATTCTGTTAAGATTAAACACACACACATACACACACTGCACGACTCATAATATGTATATTCCACGACGAGCAGCTATCTCTCGTCAATCAAATTAGCAGTTCCACAATTTCCACAAGCTGATCGAGTCAGAATAACAATACTCCTAGACCATATCCAGATGGAAGTCAAAACCAAGAGGAAAAGATCTGAAACTAGAGAAACATGGTTTGATTAAAAGAAAATGCTTACGCTGTTCTTGAAAGAAATACCTCCCTTGGAGGCGGCAGCCAAGGCGATCGATTGCCTGACCCGTCTCACGGATCCAAAATCCAACGGTGTAAATGGCTTTCCCCAGAGTTCCCATCGTCTTCTTCGTCGTCCTCCTCCTCACTGGTATCGCGCAATTCAGAGGCAACCAAAATCACTGGGAGGTTTTGGGCTTCTTCTTGTGACTGCTTTGAAATGGAAGGAGAAAGGCAGCAGAGCTACGAGGAAGAAATGGGAATGAAGCACAAGGGTAGAATAGAATATCCCACACACTGAAGGGCAAATTAGTAATTCAACTACTGAAACGGTGGGTTTTGAAGTCTACTTATGATTTTTTTTTTTATATATTGATTTTTTAAAACAGTTAAATAATTAAAAATTTTCAAAGAATTTTTTTTTTCATTTTCATTTTCACCAATTATCTAATTTATCTAATTTAGATAAATATTTTTCACCATTACCCTACAAATTCTCCTCTCAATTCCCACGAAAATAAAAATAAAAAAAATTAACGGAAATAAAAAAATGAAAAACCAAGCCCGAGCCCAAGACCAAGTCCGAGCCCAAGCCCAAGATCGAACCCGAGCTAAGCCCGAGCCCGAGCCGTAGCCCAAGCCCAAGACCAAATATGAGAGCAAGCCCAAGACTGAGCCCAAGCCCGAGCCCAAGCCCGAGCCCAAGCCCATCCATAGTCCAAGTTCAATCCCGAGCCCAGGGCCAAGCCCAGGCCCAAGACCAATCCAGAGTCCAAACCCGAGCCCAAGCCCAAGCCCCCGAGCTTAAGTCCAATATCAAGCCCGAGCCCGAGCCCAAGGCGAAATCCAAGCTCAACCTGAGCCCAAGATCAAGCCCAACCTTTAGTCCGAGCCCAAGGCTGAGACCAAGACCAAGCCCGAGCCCAAGCCGAAGTCCAAGCCCGAGCCCAATATCAAACCCAAGACCTAGACGAAGACCGAGCCTAAATCCAAGCCCAAGACCAATCCCGAGCCCAAGACCAAGCGCTTGCCCTAGCCCGAGACCAAGACCAAGTCCAAGTCCAAGCCCGAGCCCGAGCCCAAGTCGTCCTAAAACCCTAGAAACAATCCGACGAAGTAAAAATGGAGCCTGAAACTGAAGCCAAGCCGACCAATTAAGGGGATATGCTAAGGGACTTCAGGGGTTCAAATGGGCTCGTGAGAAAATGGAGGAAAGCGAGTTTTATGAGAGTTTGGAGCAGCTCACGAAAGGGGCTAATGCCTCTCCCAGTGGTGCAGAGGAGGCTGCATCCGTTGAGAATTCCGAGCCTGTTTCTATTCCCAAGAGGCGAGGGAAGATCAAGTGCAAGATTTATGGTCTTGATTTATCTGATCCCAAGTGGAGCGAAGTAGCAGACAAAATCCACGAGGCAGAGGAGGTGATATGGCCTCAAGAACCAAAGCCAATTTCTGGGAAATGCAAATTGATCACAGAGAGAATTCTTTCACTAAACGAGAACGATGACCCATCTCCATTAATGGCTGAATGGACAGAGCTTCTTCAACCTACTAGGATTGACTGGATTACCTTGCTTGATAAATTGAATGATAAGAACAGATTCTTATACTTGAAGGTAAGAAATCTCTCTTATTCTTCCCCTTTTGCCTTGTGTTCTTGGATAATTCTTGTTCTCAGTTTCATATTTAAACAGGGTAGAAGAAGCTGCATTTATAATCTCTTGGTTCCTTTCGTTTTGAATGTCGTATATATAGAATATGCCATAGATTTTGAGTTCTGAAATAGCAACAAGCTTTAGATTTCTGGCGCTATGCATGAGTGATGTTAAGGTGTTTATCAATGATAATACTTTTTGTACACCATATTAGATAGAACGACATAATGTTTGCAATTTGCAAGACCCTGATTTGAATTTGTTGGTTATGATGAATGAAGGTAGCACAGCTTCTTTTGAATGAAGAACCTTTCGAGACCAACATCCGTGACTACTCTAAGCTTGTCGATGTCCATGCTAAAGAGAATCGTCTAGAGGATGCTGAGAGGATTCTTAAGATGATGGATGAGAAGGGCATTACACCGGACATTTTAACAGCCACAGTTTTGGTTCATATGTATAGCAAGGTGGGAAATCTCGATCGTGCAAAGGAAGCGTTTGATACATTGAGGAGTATCGGCTTCCAACCCGATGAGAAGGTTTATAATTCCATGATAATGGCGTTTGTGAATGCTGGACAGCCGAAGTTGGGCGAATCAATGATGAGAGAAATGGAAGCAAGGGACATTAAACCAAGCAAGGATATTTACATGGCATTGCTAAGGTCATTTTCGCAACGTGGTGATATTAGTGGCGCTGGAAGAATTGCTGCAACGATGCAATTTTCTGGCATCTCGCCAAGTTTGGAGTCGTGTATATTACTAGTTGAGACATATGGGCTAGCTGGTGATCCTGATCAGGCAAGGAACAATTTTGACTACATGATAAAAATCGGGCACAGGCCTGATGACAGTTGCACTGCAAGTATGGTTGCAGCCTACGGAACGAAGAACCTGTTGGACAAGGCTCTGAATCTTTTACTACAGCTCGAAAAGGATGGGTTTGAGCCAGGGGTTGAAACTTATGCTGCTCTTGTAGATTGGTTAGGTAAGTTGCAGCTGGTTGATGAAGCTGAGCAGCTATTAGGCAAGATCGGTGCACAGGGAGATGTCGTGCCTCTTAAGGTTCATATTAGCCTCTGTGATATGTACTCAAGAGCTGGGGTCGAGAAAAAGGCGATACAAGCGCTCGAGTTGGGACATGGTGAATTCGAAAGGATCATAAATGGACTTATAGCTGGTGGCTTTGTGCAGGATGCTAAAAGAATGCAGGGCCTTATGGATGCTAAGGGTTTTACTGCATCCCAACCACTTCAAATGGCTTTGACGACATCTCAAGCTCTTCGTGGCAGGAGACTGCCTTGAGAAATCTCGACCGTTCATAAATTTATCGATAATCCGTAGCTAACTGGTAAAGATGTGAATATTTATCATCAACTAGCGATCTATGGCAAAGCTAGTGGCTGGAAAGATTGAATTGAATGGAATCTCTATGGAAAATTTGCATCTCAGCATTTGTTTTCAAGGTTGTGTTGTTTTCCTTCACTCGAGTATAGGTTAAACCCGAGTTTTTCCTTATCCATCTCTGACCTTGGTTTTTTCTTTTGTTTTTTTTAACTCAGAAGGTAGAGATTAATGGTGAGATTCCACATCGGTTGGAGAGGAGAACGAAACATTTATGAGGGTGTGGAAACCTCTCCCTAGTAGACGCGTTTTAAAATCGTGAGGCTGGCGGCAATACATAACGAGCCAAAGCGGACAATATCTGCTTAGGTGGGTTTTGGCTGTTACAAATGGTATCAGACCGAGACACTGAGCGGTGTGTTAGCAAGGACGCTGGGCCCACCAGGAGGATGGATTGTGAGATCCCACATCGGTTGGAGAGGGAAACGAAGCATTTCTTATAAGGGCGTGGAAACCTCTCTCTAATAGACGCGTTTTAAAGCTGTGAGGTTGACAGCGATACGTAACGAGCCAAAGCGGACAATATCTGCTAGTGGTGGGTATGGGCTGTTACAAATAGTATCAGAGCCAGACACCGAGCAATGTGTCAGCTAGGACGTTGGGCCCCTCAGGGGGGGTGGATTGTGACATCCCACATCGGTTGGAGAGGGAAACGAAGCATTCCTTAGAAGGGGGTGTGGAAACCTCTCTCTAATAGACACGTTTTAAAACCGTGAGGCTGACAGTGATACGTAACGAGCCAAAGCGGGCAATATTTGCTAGCGGTGAGTTTGGGCTGTTACATTAATGTTTTCTTAGTATTTACCTTTGTTTTTCTTCTCCTAAATGTTTATACCTCCGATGTCATGCATTCTATGGTTAATATATCATCTCTTCTGTTCGATGTCGGGTATGCCACCGCATAAGGATTTCATCACTTGCTTTAACAATAATAGTTTCTTTTGATTTCTTATCTTGTTTGCTTTACATTGTATACAATCATGCTTGCTTTTACAGTATTATAGAATCATATGCTCATCAATGTTCATAATTCTCAGTAGTATTCTCCTTTTATATACTCATTCAGTCGTTTGAGTTCCCCATTTTGCTGCTCTACCACTGCTCTGACAACATCTACTATAGAAATCATGCCAACTAGTTTGCCATCTATCACAGGAACGTGTCGTATGCGATTCTCTGCAAATGTCGAAAACTTAGATGGTCGTTGTTGCAGCTGGAGAACGAGCTGACTCCCATTTTCATGGTAATTTCAGAACATAAACGACTCTGTATTTAGTATTTACCTGTCATTAGCTGCATTGCTTTAAGGATGTTCGTGTCGGACGTTACGCTTACTAGCTTGTCCTGTTCATGAAAAATAGAAATGTATGAATGCGAAATGTTGTTTGAAATCTGGTTTTTAGCTTAGAAAAGACAGAAATTAACCTCAGAAGTCATTATTTCCCCAACTTTTGTGTATATGGGAGATCTTCCATCTGCTATTATCTTCTTCAGGTAGTCTGCTAATGTTTGCTTATTAGTGTTCTTGATAAGTTTAAATTTTTTAATCCATGTTTTTGAAATTGTTTGGCGTTTGATTTACCTCGTTCTGTTACAATTCCAGCAATGTGTTGTCCTTCAGGCTTCAGCACCACCAACGATCCAATATTATTTCTAGCCATCTGCATCAACACAAAAAGAGTCCTCAATCTTCAGAGATAACCTTTCAAGCTTTTGGTAATGTGAACTGAACCGAACTCGCTACGTTTTGCACGGCAACAATGGCGGTGTCATCGGCTCGACAGGATAGCCAAGGGGAACCAATACTTCCATCTCCCTTACTCGAAACGATCTCTGCCACCGAAATGTTCTCCAAACCTTTCAGCATAGAAGACGAAGCTCCTAAGTTGGATCCTTTGAAAAGCTTCTCGACTTGATTCGTTTCTCTCCTGCATGAGTGCTGCGAGATAGCGATCTTTAGTGTCTCTTGCCACGATCGTACTGCTCTTACGATCCCCTGCATTTTGGATTGGGATGGGAATGTGACAGGAAGATCAGTTGATGATGAAGGGTATGTTGTTCCATGGTGATTTGAAGTAGAATAAACAAGAATAACTTGCAATCATCGTTAATCTCATTACTAAACTAATATCTGGATTAGTGTGTGCATTATTCTTTGCTTTACAAGAATGTCTTGCAATCATCGTTCATGATTAACTAAGTTTTCAATTAGAATTGCAATTAATGAACATTCTTTGCTTCACTAATAGAAATTGAGGAAAATCCTTGTTCTTGATTGATTCCAAGGTGTCCTAAGAATTAAATTTTCAGGTAACGGTTCAGATCCACCACCGTTAGCAGATATTGTCTTCTTTGGGCTTACCCTTTCGGGCTTTCCGTCAAGGCTTTAAAACGCATCCGCTAGGGGAAGGTTTCCACACCCTTAGGGTGTTTTGTTTTCCTCCTCAACTAGTGTGGGACATCATAATGAGAGAACAAAACACACCTCATAAGGGTGTGGAAGCCTTCCCCTAGACGTGTATAAAGGGTGTGGAAGCCTTCCCCTAGATGTGTATAAAGGGTGTGGAAACCTTTCCCTAGCAAATGCATATAAACGGTGTGGAAATCTTCCTCCTTCTCCTAGCAGACGCGTATAAAGGGGGTGGAAATCTTCCCCCTTCCCCTAGCAAATGCGTATAAAGGGTGTGGAAATCTTCCCCCTTCCCCTAACAGATGCGTTTTAAAGCTTTGAAAGAAAGCTTAAAGAGGACAATATGGTGGATCTGGATTGCCTAGACTAACTTCAAATCTTCCCAAATCCAAACCACCAATTTCTCTCTTCTTTGAGCACAAAAGCCTTCTCACAAATTGCTTCCATATTCATTTTAAGCCATTGCCCAATTCATTTCATCACAAAAGTGTTGTTCCTCAAATGAGATTCCTTCTTTACTTGGGAGGGGGGAAAAGAAAGAGAGGAAAGAAAAAAAAAAAGTGAACTTAGGGATGACAAGATTTGTAGAGACCCGACATTAACCAACCTAGATCGAAGATACGGTTCGAGTCATCTCAATGTCATCCCCACCCTCATTTCCCATTAGGGTTGAGGTACATTTTTTCAACCAACAATTAACAAACTATAGGCCAGAGGTTAGGAACAGGGGCGGAGAATATATTCATCCAAAGAATTCTTTTCCATCCCCATTCTTCATGGCGGGTCCTAGGGACCCGACTCCATGAGAAATTTTGTCATCCCTAATCCCTATTCAGTTGAAAATATAAAGAAAAGGCAACTCGAAACTTCAGAGGATTGGATGATGATATTGCTCGTTTGAGAAGGAAATGTCTTATCTAAGAAGGCAAAAGCATCCATCTTCGTATTCTTTGTCCATCAGAAAGGTAAAGAAAGCTAAAGAAGGAAGTTCTTAACCAAAAGCTAACCCAAAAGTTGAGCATGTTTCCAAAGTATCCAATGCCAAATTATTATATACTCTTTTGGACAGGAAAACTTCCATGACAAACCCCTCATTCTTTTGTTTTATGTCATAGTTTTTCGTTATGACATACCGACAATTTCGCTTTCGACTTCCTTGGCAATCCATAAAAGCTTCTTCTCGACTCGAAAACGAGTCATCGACACGCAGTTCTGAGCCTACAGATGAAGCTGAAACTTCTAATTCAGCTGCTGATACCGTCCCATATATGCAGCATCTACCAGAGCTGTCTCCTTTAGAATCAGCTCAGGCACCTGAAAGAAGTGAAACTATGCTACCTTCAAAATCTCATAAGAAAGCCAAAGTTCATTCTCAACCATCGTCACATTCCCGAGCGAAAAAACAAACCCGAACGGCTACCAAGCCTCCATCTGCATCGAAAGTGACCCCTCAATCTTCAGTTTCTTCCAACAAGTCTCCAACAACGTCAGCCAAGGCGTCTCCGTCTCATGATGCATCAAAGCCTTCATCATCAGCAGGCAAAGTTTCTCCATCTCATGATACTTCAAAGCTTTCATCCCCAGCAGGCAAAGGCAAAGTTTCTCCCTCTCATGATACTTCAAAGCCTTCATCACCAGCAGGCAAAGCCTTTCCGTCTCGGGATGCTTCACAGCCTTCATCATCAGCAGCTGCAGCGCCTCGATCCCAAATCAGGTCAAAGCCACCGTCCCCATCTCAAACGTCCAGTAAAAACCATCCACAATCGAAACCAACATCACAATCAAGATTGAAAGCTGATTCTCAACCTTCATCACCTTCACGGCCAGCATTTTCACCTCAAGCTTCTTCCATACCACGGTCACCGTCTCATGAAAACTCTCGACAACAACCATCGAAAAAGGCCTCTCGGGTTCAGTCTCCATCTCATTTGTCCAGCAAACCTACTGCACAATCAACATCACAACAGCTTACTGAATCTCCTGCAACCATAGGAGATCAAACAACAAAAAGAGTTGTTTCTCATCCCGCAGATCAATCGCCACGAGCAAGATGTAAAAGAAGGGAAAATCAGGTGCAAACCAAATCAAAGCAGTCTCCAAAACCAGACTTGAAACCAGTGGAATTCAAAGCATCAAAGCATCAGCCTGAAACCATGGAAGAGTTCATATCTAAGAACACTTCCTATCCCCATTCAGACCAGGATTTTTCGGAAATCCCAATTATCATCGATGAAACCATTGAAAATGGTCCAGAGACCTCTCTAGAATCGCAGACAGAGTCACAAGAAAGTAAGGAAATAAAGAGTTACGAGGAAGATCTGGAAAAGACAACCAATGCACTTCAGATCAATGCATCTAAAAGCAAATTAATCACATCTGCTGAAATCACGTCGCCGTTTGAACCAGAAAATAGCGATTCACAACAGGAAGGAACCATGGAAGACTTATCGAAAGCTTTTCAGACGCTAAACATCAAATATCCAGAAGAAAATCCAAAGAGTTTCACAACACTCACCGGCGATAACAAAGGAGCGTCAATGCACTTACTCTCCGGCGAAGCTACAAAAGAAAGTTCAATCCATATCCACCGTCAGTATAAGAGTGATCCAGACAAAGGTCCGGAGAGTTCCACAGACATCGAAGGAAATTCCAATGAAGAAACGCCTCAAGATTCAAAAACGGAAGAGGATCCACCTCTTGAACTATACATCAACATCAATGTACAAGGTATCAACAACTCACTCCTGTCCAATAGCTCATTCACTGAAAATAATCCTGGAATCAAGTTGAAATTCGTTCCACAACAAACTAAATCAGAAGATAAATCACATTCACTCCAAGCTCAGAAGGCCAAATATACAGCGAAACATACAGAAAACCATACCTATGAACCCACAGTAAGACGAAGATGTCTCGGAGGGCTGTTAATGGAGTCGAGCGATTCAGACGGCGACAATTCAGAAAAGCCCCGACGCCATGGCTGCCGCTACAGAGGCAGTTTCGAAGGAAGCTAGGTCGAAATTCTGCAACAGAAATTACAGAACAACATCGAAAATCTCGAAGCATCATCCCAACAATCAAAACATATTCATCGCATAAAAGAAATTTGAGTGTGTCTGTGTGTGAAGAAATTTTTTTCTTACAATGTGTGTGAAGAAATTGAAACCTGCGTGCGACAAAATTCAAAATGTATGAAGCTTTGATTGTTCTAAACCCAGATCTTCCACAAAAATTAGTTCATATTTTGTTCACTATCCCGCTAAGAATTTCAATCCATCAAAGCTATTAGTTTAAGAAAATTGGAAGTTAGAACTTAAATAATAATAATAATAATTAAATTAAATTAAATTAAGTTAAATCTATTACACTAAACTGACCTTAAACAGTTAAATTCTTAATTAATAATTATATAAAAAAAATTAATAAACTTAATAAATGTAAAAGTTATTTAAAAAGAAAAAAAGAAAAAATGGTAGGGGCTCGAAGACGATCAGATACCGTCCTAGTCTCAACCATAAACGATGCCGACCAGGGATTGGCAGATGTTGCTATAAGGATTCCGCTAGCACCTAATGAGAAAGTAAAGTCTTTGGGTTCCGGAGGGAGTATGGTTGCAAGGCTGAAACTTAAAGGAATTGACGGAAGGGCACCACAAGGAGTGGAGCCTGCGGCTTAATTTGACTCAACACGGGGAAACTTACCAGGTCCAGACATAGTAAGGATTGACAGATCGAGAGCTCTTTTTTTATTCTATGGGTGGTAGTACATGGGCGTTCTTAGTTGGTGGAACAATTTTTCTAGTTAATTCCGTTAATGAACAATACCTTTGCTAACTAGCTATGTGGAAGAATCCCTCCGCGGCCAGCTTCTTAGAGGGACTATGGTTGCTTAGGCCAAGTAAGTTTAAGGCAATAACGTGTCTTTGATGCCTTTAGATGTTCTGGGCCGCACGCGCGCTTCACTAATGTATTCAACGAGTCTATAGCCTTGGTCGATAGGCCCGGGTAATCTTTGAAATTTCACCGTGATGGGGATAGATCATTGCAACTGTTGGTCTTCGACGAGAAATTCCTAGTAAGCGCGAGTCATCAGCTCGCGTTGACTATGTCCCTGCTCTTTGTACACACCACTTGTCGCTCCTACTGATTGAATGGTCTGGTGAGCTGTTCGGACCGTGGTGACATGGGCGGTTCGTTGCCTACTTCACTGAACCTTATCATTTAGATGAAGGAAAAGTCGTAACAAAGTTTCCATAGGTGAACATGCAAAAGGATCATTGTCAATGCCTAAACATCAAACGACTCGTGAACGTGTTCACAAACTTTTTGTGTCGGGGGAGCATTCGTGCCTCATCTAATGCCTAAACCAAAACAGGTGCAAATCGTACCAAGAAGCTTAAATGAATAAGCTTGCTCCCTGCCCCGGTCTCGGTGTACGAGGGGCAAAGCATTATTGTCGTATTATTAGCTCTCATTAGTGGGCCATAATTGGGCTTAAGAAACGGGCCCATGAGCCCAACTACTTAAGCCCAAAATTAGCATTGCAAGCAAGAGGCGCCGGCGGATGACATAGCGACAGCGAAATTTAAGGATGACTTAAGGCATTAAATCGTTAAATTAAATCATAAAGTCAAGATGTTGCTATTGTTTGACTCAATTTTCAGTCTAAATCACTTTTTTTACTTCCTAATCCTATTTAGTTAATCGCTAATTAATTTAATTACAAATAACTTATTCATTTTTTAAATATCTTATGGATATTATATAATTTTAAATTTTTTAAATTTGGAAAATTGTCCCCTAATTTAATTAATATTGATTTTTATTTAAATATTTTAAATAAATAATTTAAAAATACACATTAAAAAATAATGTGAATTTTAGCATAATCTTCTTGTTATACCATAATCACAATATTTAAAGTGGATTTGGCAGTTCTTCAAAGAAGTATTTTTTAAGAATGGCCAGCTAAGTAAATTATAATTAATTTTTTAAATAATAAATAACCCCTTTGTTAAATAATAAATAAATAAATAAATAATTACCATATTTAAAATAATATTTAATTATAAAAATTGTAATTTCTTGTAATATCAAATTTTAAAGACCGACTATTTCACCCGTCTCTCGCAGTAGACTATGTGCTCTAGGTTCAGCTAGATGGGTCGAGGAGAGTGCACGAGAAAAGCTGACCTCACCATCTTTCTAACATGACACGTAACTTTAGTATCTAGCTGAGTCAACCTACGTGTCTATCACCAGCAAAATAACGGTTTTTGTGGAACGTACTCCGTTCTTGCTTAGAGCCACACCCACATCGGTCTAAAACGTTGACTCGTTGGATGTAACACGACACCGAAACGAGATATCTACCTCGGTACTTTTGGCTATTATGTGCATGAAACAAACGTTGCTAATTACCAAATTAACCTAAAAGGGGAAAACAATGAATAACTGAAGCAGGTATGGAATGGCATTGTGGTTAATCGAGAGAATCGTGTACGTCACATTGAGTGCGTTTTCAACCCCTCAAGAATCACATGTTTTTACTATTTTACCCTTTAATATTTTACAAATTTTCAAACAAATGCCACAAACTCACTCTTCCTCTTCTTTTTTTTCTTTCCCTCTCTGTTTTTCAAACTTACTTCCATTTGCGTCGCCCTCAAGTTCATTGTCAAAATCTCACTCCGCCGGCGCCGCAGCTTCCATCAACGTCAAGCAACGCGTTGTTCAATCACCTATAAGAACGCTCCAACGTTTGTTCGTAGTTCATCAATCATCATTGAAATCGAAATCATCTACGAGTTTTTATTTCTTTTCTCTTCATTTCCGAATCGAAATCTGTTGATTTCAAAATCCTACGAAAATGTCTCGTTCGCGCGGTTTCTTTCAGGCTTGTACAGCGATTGTGATTTGTGTGCTCGTGGCGGAGTTTACGGCGGCGATGGCGAAAACAGCGATTCTGATCACTGTCGATCAATCCGGTAGAGGAAATTTTACGAAGATTCAAAACGCGATTGATGCGGTGCCTGAAAATAATTTGGAGGAAGTGTTTATTGCTGTGAAGCCGGGGATTTACAGAGAGAAGGTGACTGTACCAGCGAATAAACCGTACATTACGATCAGTGGAAGAAGATCATCTGATACTATCATTACTTGGAATGATAGCAGAAATACATATAATTCTGCAACTCTTGCGGTTTTGGCCTCTGATTTCGTTGGACGATACCTCACGATTCAGGTTCTTAATTTCTACGGAACAAGAACTTTTGTTTTGATTTGATTTTATCTGTTTTTGATTCATTTAACTTCGAACAGTACGATTTCCATGGCTTCGTTTGACGAAGATTATTCTCGTTTTGCAGCTTTTGTGAAATCTTCTTTTCAGTTTTTGTAATTTAGCTAATGTTTTTGAAACGCTTGCATGAACTACTGAGATTTTCCCCCAAATTAGTTAAATTATAAATTTAATCCTCAATAAAGTTATAAATCTTTAAATGTCATAATTAATCTTTATTAATTTAAATTTTAAATAATTTTTGTTAGACTAAGTATAATATTGTCCACTTTTAAGCATAATATTGTCTACTTTTAAGCATAATCTCTCAATGAATGATTTTGGTTTGAATTTCTCCTCTTATAAGAGAATATTCTTTTATTATAAACTCACGAACATTAACTTTTATCTTTCAGCAATTTTATAGAAATTAAATTTCTATGAATTTTTATTTTTATTTTTAGTATCACTTTACTTATATAATTATATATTTTTTATCTTAAAAAGGAAGTTAGTTGGGTATTAATCTATTCTGTCCTTATTATTTCAAATCTTTTAATATTATTTTATTTCCTAATAAGATAAAGTACAAAAATAAAAAATAAAATATTATCCAATGGATTTTGAATTTTTATTCACTTAAATAATTTTTATTTTAAAATTGTAAGATTTTTTTTTTATATATATGTATTTATACTATTTTTTCAGAACGGGTTCGGGGCGGGTGCGCAAGCGGTGGCGTTACGGGTATCCGGAGACCGAGTTTCATTTACCGCCTGCAGATTTCTGGGTCATCAAGACACTCTGCTAGACGACATCGGCCGCCATTACTACAGAAGCTGTTACATAGAAGGAGCCACCGACTTCATCTGCGGAAACGGGGCTTCACTTTTCGAGGTTCATTTTCTTTCCTTCTCTGTGAATTGGGCCTATTGGGCCTATTGGGCCAAGAAAGCTTATTGACCCATTTGAGTTTGGGCTTTTGCAGAATTGCCATCTGCATTCGGTGTCGGACTCCGTAGGGACCATCACGGCCCAACGGAGAGAGTCGCCGTCGGAGAACACTGGGTTCGTGTTTATGGGTTGCAAGATCACCGGAATCAACTCCGCCGTTCTGGGTCGGCCGTGGGGGGCGTTCTCTAGGGTCGTGTTTGGATTCACTTACATGTCTGATGTTATTCTCCCCGAGGGTTGGGACAACTGGCAAGACCCATCCAAACAGAGGTTTCTATTCTTTCCTCCTTTTAAATTTAACCTATGATTATTCTCTAAATTAGCCGACATGTGACTTTCATTATCCAACACCTCCCCTCAAATAAAGCACGTCTCCCCTTAATCAAGGTTCGACTCCTTTGGAGTCTTAGTCATTTCTTTCGTACCTTCGAAGAGGCTTGACTCATTTTTCTTTTTGGAGTCCTTTGTTCGACATTTAAAAATTTACAAATCTATTAGCTTGACTAAGTTCAGGGGCATGGCTTTCTGATACCATGTTAGGAATCACGACTCCCCACAATAATATGATATTGTCCACTTTAAGCATAAACTCTCATGGTTTTGCTTTGAGCTTCTTCAAAAGGCCTCGTACCAATGGAGAGAGTATTATTTATTTATAAACTCATGATCATGCAGTGAAACTTTTATCGTCCAACATTATTAATATTTAATAAATCCATTAATATTTTAAAATTAATTAAATATTTGAAAATGTATGGCAGCACTGTGTACTATGGACAATACAGATGTTACGGAAAAGGAGCCAATCCATCCAGAAGGGTACCATGGTCATTTACCAACATGACCACCCAAGAAGCTGCACCATTCTTCTCCAAAACCTTCATTGGCGCTGCACATTGGCTCAGGCCTTTACCCACCAATTTCAAGAGAGCCTTCGCTTCCAAACCCTAAAAAAGTCTGTAATTACCATTCTATCCCTATATTCATTGTTTATACACTTGTATCTAGAACTCTCATAAATCAATAAATACTACTCCACGATTCTTTCCGATCTTCTTCTCACAAATTCTCTATATCGACCGGTATTTATTAACTTATTGGTTTTATTCGACGTTCGTGTTGTTGTCTGGTTATAGTGTAACCATATAATTTCGAAATTGAAATTCTATTTGGAAGATAATGTATTCTAAGATTTTCTCTCCTATATTGGCTTACACCTAATTTGCTCGTAGTGTCATCATGGCATATGCATGCCCAAATGAAAAACAAAACACCCCCCAAACATGGGTAGTGGACGGAGATATTTGAATTGTATTCTATAATGTTGTCATTTTCAAGCTTCAGCTATTTTGAAATTGATGAAAACCTTCATGGATGAGAACAGTAACGTGTAAAATTAAATTAATTATTACCGTCTCGGAAAACAAGTTTAAAAAATCCCTAAAATTTAATTTTTTATTCTTTTTTTTTTTTGTTATTAATTTAAATTATCAAATTATTTTTCAAAATTCAAAGGCTAAAATGGCATGTTTTCGAATTATGGCAACCAAACAAACCAGGGATAATTAATATTTTAAAATAATTTTAATGAATATTTATTCAATAAAATGCAAAATGAATTTAATTAAATTTCATCAGGAAAATCTGAAATGGTAAAAAAAAAATATCTAAAATATTTATTGCTTTAAAATTAACAGTCAAATTTCTTAACTTTTTCAAATAATTTACCTTTTTTTACTTCCAATTGACAGGCTGTCAAAAATTGTAATGTAACAAAAGCAGCAGCGCGCCGTAACTTTGATGCGCCACAAGACAAAATCTCACACCACCTAATCATGCCCGCCGCATCATCCTTCCCGACGGGTCCCACTTCTGTACACGTGGCATCTCCTTCCTATACTATTTTTCCACACGTACTTAATCTTTTTATTATTATTATTATTAAAAAAGATAAGCACAAATTAAAACAATAAAAAAATAAAAAATAAATAAAAGGGCCCACACGGAGCACGCATTTGTTAACACTATATAAAGGCCTAGTAGTCCTTGGAAGGAGCCTCATCTAAACGCCTTTCTTTCCCTCCTTTTTTTCTCTCTACCTAAAACTTCATTACCACGAAATGGGTTCTCTGATGGGCGGATGGAACTCTCCCGTTCTCGATCCTAAATCCGGTAATCCTAATGAATTTCGTTTGTTCATTTCGTTCATGATGTTAGTTAAGTAATAATCTGTGTAATAACTGTTTATTTTCAGTCAAGTTTAAGAGGAATCGATCGCTTACTAAGGAGGAAATCGAAGCTTACTGGAAATCGAAGAGGAAATTGGAGGAAGAACATCTCAGAGCGATTTCTATGCCGGTGGATGGCGATACGGTCGGAATAGACTACAAAAGATCGAGTTCGTTTCCTGCGGCGATCGGTAAGGCGGAGAAAGAAGTGTTTGCGGAAAGCGATTTGGAGAGGAAAAACCTAGAGAAGTTGAAGAAAAATGGCTGGTAAATTTAAGTAGTTGTATTAATTAATTAATTTAATTACTCCTTTGCGGATTGAAATCGAAGGACGAAATTAAGAAACGGAGATGTGCGCGGTTGTTTCTGTTTGTGTGTAGGTGGAGGAGGAGCAATTCTGCTTTTCTGAACGAACCGCCTGTCCTCGACGGCGCTGCAAAAGCGTATGCGTCTCAGTACGGCGTCACAGACGTGGCGTCGTTCTAGTTGAATCTCAGCAATGGAGTCGGTGCTTGGTTAAGGTGAATATATGTTAATCAGTAATTTACGTAAAATTAATAGATTATAAATATGTTGTATAATGATGGCAAGGTTCTGTTTTTCGTTTGTAATCTGGAATTTGAAGTTCTTAATTCTCTTCATGCTTAGTCTGTGATAATATATGCTACAATTTCTCTCCTCTATGTTTTCTTCTCTTTTTTTCATTCGCAATAATCTCTGTGTTTAAGATTCATGCTTTTCCATCATAATTTTATTCCTTTTTTCAGTCCATTTTCTACTTTTCTTACTCTAAAATATTATTACACTTCAAATATTGATTGATAATCCATTTAGATGGAGATTAATCAAGTAATAATTTATTAATGAATCTAATTATTATAAACTTATCATAATCGACACGATCATTATCTCATGCTTTATATTTGTAATGGTTTTTCATACCAAATTGTAATGATTTTCTTTGCTTCCATTCTATTAATCTATTAGATTTGCAGTTCCCTCTCTCTCTCTCTCTCTATATATATATATATATATTATTATTATTATTTTTTGTGATACTCGTCGATGGGAGAGGAAAATGAAACATAATAATGTAAATTTTTGAATAATAGGTGCATTTTAAAATGGCTAAAAACAGATAATATTTATTAGGGGTAGGTTGAACTGTTATGAATGGTATCAAAGTCCGTCATTAGTCATTTTGACAGTAAAGACGTTAGGTCCCTAAAGAGAGTGAATTATAAGATTCGATGCTGGTTAGGTCCCTAAAGAGAGTGAATTTTAAGATTCGACGCCGGTTGAAGAGAATAAAACATTTTTTTTTGTAAATGAGTGAAAACTTCTCTAAATTACTAGGTTGTGTATAATTGGCCAAAAACCACAATATTTATTAATCGTAAGATTAATATTCATTATTGAAATAAATATTTGGCATCCATCTAAACTAAGATCATCTTACCATGTTGAATTTTAATCTCTATCTTAGGCGTGAATATATTTAAATAATATTTATTTAATTCAAAGAGTTTTAATTTAATTACTGTTGCTAGTTTGAATAAAAGATAAATATAGTGAGTTTAATTGGTAAAATTATTAAATTTTGTCTAATATAATAATTAGTAGATAGATTGCATAATTATTTTAAAAGAATAATGTTTTGAAGGAAATAAATTTTAATTTTGGAAACCGCATACTATTTTAGCAATTCAATGGATTAATTGTTATGATAATTCATATTAAAAATAAAAATAATGTTTAGATTATTTTGTCCAAATATATCCGTAGAATTTTTTCTCAAAATATTTTTGAAAAAAAAATATTTTTTTTTAATAATAGAATATTTAAAATTTTAATGATCTCCTGCCAAATTAAAATTCAAAAATTTATTAGACATATTTTTAATATATATATATAAAAATTCACATTTGATTCGTTAATATTTTCTAACGATAATAAATATAAAATATGATAATGTCAATCTTCACCTTATATATTTTTAATCTTGGTTTATTAACTAATTATATTAAATATAAATACCTAAAAAAATGTATTAATTTTTTAAATTTGCAAATATTAGAAATAAATTTTTTGCATAAGAAATTTGAATTTTGAAATATTAAGTGTATCAGTTATCAAATTTATTGCTTATTGAATTTAACTCGAATCATTTTTATATTATTTTGCTAATATATAGTTATCAACTTCTAATAGTTTAATTTACCGTGTTACATAAAAAAAATCAACCAATTAAGCATATTGCAAATATAAGAAAAATCATAAATCCAACTAATGAAAAAAAAAGACCCAACACAGAACAAATTTAGACCAACACGGAGGAGTCAAAGGAGAGGAACTAAAATTGGTTAAAGCTCAAGTCCCTTTGGTTGACTAATGTAAGGAGCCGAGGTCAAGTACATAGTTACATGCTCTTAGTCCATGGCTATACTCACGTTGGTCTGTTTCCTAAAAGTCTAATAGGTCCCTCGAACGTGATTCGAGTGCTTCACATTCTACTCATTCACCGTAGCTCTAGTCCTATAGGTTAGTCAAACTTAAATTACAATATAGAAAAAATATTGTTAAATAAGTTATTGAAATCGAGTGAAATGAGAAATATGGTATTTATTTATTTAAAATTTAAGCGTTTATTATTATTATTATTTTTATCTAATTTTAAATTACATTTTAAAAAACAAGTCAAATTTTTCTTATTATTAAATGATTATATATATATATAGTTTATTTAAAGTAGGGTATAAGCGTAGACCACGGGGGACAAGGGGGAAATGGTGGGGCCCACTTGTTGGACTTTATTTAAACATGTAAACTCAAGCTTTAGAAATTAAAAATGGGCCTCGTGGGCCCAACTTTCGAAAGCCCTGGCCCGCTAATGCTTCCTAGTGACTTCCATTCATCAGTGCCTTTTGTTGTCCTAGTCTTGTCCATCTTAGTTTCCTTTACAAAAATATCATTTTTTTTTACTTATTCATCTCAGTTATTTTTATTTTTTTACCTTTTGGATTTTAACCAATATATATATATATATATATATATATATATATATATATATTATTACATCATTTAAAATTGCATCTTATCTTATTTTTTTACCTTTTGGGCACGAATTGTCATCTTATCTTCTTCTTTACTCTTCAATGATGGTTTTATTTTTCTTTTAATCAATATTTATTTTCTTTTTTTCTCCGCCACATATATCTGATCTTACATTTACAAAATGATCGGTTCATAATGAATTCTGGAGCGTAAAAAAAAAAAAAATTGAGTTTTCACCCGTACGATTACAGTAAAATACACGAGAGTAAGTCTTGGAGAATTGTGTAGGAATTCTCAAGCCACTGTAAAAACCTCCATCATCATTTATTCATGCTCGTTTATCCTCAAAATAATGAAAAGGGTATAATTGAAATTTTACAAAAAGGTGAGTGGGTAAATTGAAAATATAAAATTAATTATTTTTTTTAAAATATTCAAATATTAAAATGAAAATATTAATAATTACTTGTAAAGTGAAAAGAAAATTTAAAGCTGAAATGACCGCTTACCCAACCGTTTGCTGTCAAACAATGACATCGAGCCAACGCCAGCAACTACCGTGCGGGGTAATTCCGTCTTTTCGATAATAAATTTTATTTTATTTTTTGTTTTGTTTATAAAACTTAAAATTTGTTAAAAATTAACGGATTCTATAAATATAAATTCTAATATTTTTAATTTTGTTTTTTTTCTTTTTTAAATATGGAGGGTTATAATGGTAATTTCAGCGATTCAAATCTGCAAATAAATACCGTTAAAAAATGG